CATATAAGTGTTGAATAGTAAGTTAAGAACCATTGGAAACTAATTTTACCACTATATACCATATGGTAACCACTGCAAACTAATTTTACCACAATATACCATATGGTAACCACTGCAAAAATTGTGGTGAGATACTTACAAGGTTACATTCTGTGAAGCTGAGGTTTTTTGTCCATTCTTTGTTGGTGATGTCCAAGTCCACTTTGTCGTAGTAATCGTCTGGAGTTAGTAGAGGATTGCCACTATCAATGTCCAGTTGGCAGTCACCCTGAAAGTTGTGGTTGTTATTATGTGTTTTATATATGTGTTGTCTAAGAACTATTGACAGAATATGGGTGGGTTTACTTACTGCCAAAGATGCAACGAAGAACCACCTTTTGAATTTTCCTTTTTTTGCTTCATTCCTGTTCATTAGATCTCCATACCAGTCGATGACAGCAGATGTGATTTCACAGCGAATGTCAATCGACTGTACTGACTCCCTTTTCAGCACGAATGTTCTATCCTTCCTTCTAAACATTATCTCATCACTGTATAAAAGCACATCACAACAGGACGGATGGTTTACTTTAATTTATCACATCAAACAATAGGTTACCACAACAAACCATAGCTTACCACATCTTACCATATGGTAATAAACTAAAACACAACAGGAGTTATGGTTTAATCCATTCTTTAACAACAAATCATAGCTTACCACATCATACCATATGGTATTAAACTAAAACAAAACAGGACTTGTGCATTACTACATTTTGTAACATTAAACCATAGATTTATATAATCTTAACATAGCTTACCACATCTTACCATATGGTATTAAACCAAAAACAAAACTGGAATTGTGGATTACTACATTTTGTATGATTAAACCATAGATTTATCTAATTTTACCATATCTTACCATATGGTAACAAACTAGATCACTACAGTAACATCATATAATAGTAGAAGTTTTAAGATGATGACTTACCTCTTGACAAATTTCTTGTTTTTGCATCTTATGTACTCCAGGATGTTGCTGAACATATCATCAGGTGTTGTTTGTGCTGGTGTTGACAGTTCAACTGGTGATCTTTGTGATTGTGGAGCAACTGCTTCAACAGTTGGAGTATTCAGGTCCTCTAGGTACGCATCTATGCATTCACGCACTTCCTTGAGCTTCTCTTGGCTGTTTGTGTACAGATTTGACCATGCTATATATGACTGCTTCTGTGACTGGGTGCTTTGTGGCTGTGCTGGTGGTGGTGTTCTTCTTGCCTTCTTTTCATATACATTCAGATTCTTCACCACAATTCTTCTTTTGCGAGGCTCTCCTGGTTGATTGGTTGCCGTGGTGGTAGTCAACTTTGTTGGTGTTGTTGGTGTTTGATGGTTGAGAGGGCTGAGATCGAAGGATGGAATGTCATCTTCCCTTGTCACTTTAGGCTTCTCAGCAGCTTTGGTTGTCAATTTTGGAGTCTCTTCTCAAACAACATCATCTTACACCATTTTCTCGCTGTCAGTTTCTGCAGTCTTTTGTGCAGCTTTCCCTGTATTCCCTTCTTCTGTTGTTTCCTTATCAACATCCATTGGATCTGCTGTTTTTGTAGCTCCTTTTTCTTCTGTTTCTTTTGCAGATGTCTGTTCTGGAACTGCTTTCGGGGTGTTCTCTTGTTGTGGTGTTCCCTGATTCAGACCTTCTTGAACAGATTGTGCTGGTGGTTCTGTTGCAACTTTCCCCAGTGGATCTCCTTCTTGGATGCTTTCCCTATTCACAGCTCCTGGAGCAGAATCATCTTGCTCCTTCGGTGTAGATGCAGCAAGATCGACTGTAGATGGTTGTGAATCATCTTCTTTCTGTGTTTGCTCCTCGTTCTCCTCTTTATTCTGGTCTATCTTTGCCTGTTTGAATATTTCATTGATTGTTTTATTCAAAGTGACATTCATTTCTTCATCATCTTCACACTGAGATTTTTCTCCTTCTGTGTGCTGAACATATTCATCACAGCTTTCTTTCTCAAGATTCTCCTTGTGTCTGATCAGATTCTCAATTTGGCTGTTGTACTGGTCTTTGATTGCTTTCATCATTGCCTTCATTGATGCTTCAAGCAGTTTGATTGCATTCTCAGCCTGCATAATGTGAGTTTTGTAAGATACAATGGTGGTAATGTGTGTATGGTTAGTTACCATGGTGGTAATACATGGTATTGGCAATTATTATCACTATTCTCCATTTTTATAACCTGAAACCATATCTTACCACATGGTAACAAAGTAAAACAGAACAAGAATTATGGTTTCCTCCATTTTTATAACATGAAACCATAGCTTACCACACCTTACCATATGGTAACGAAGTAAAACACAACAGGACTTATGTTTTCCTCCATTTTTATAACATGAAACCATAGCTTACCACACCTTACCATATGGTAACAAACTAAAACACAACAGGACTTATGGTTTCCTCCATTTTTATAACATGAAACCATAGCTTACCACACCTTACCATATGGTAACAAACTAAAACGCAGAAGGACTTACGGTTAGAATGAATTGGACAACTGTAATATAGATAATTTGTACTTACTTGGTTGACTGTTCTGATATTCTTCAAATCAAAGTTCAGTGATGATGACTGGTCTGGAGTTTTATTTCTTTGTCTTTTCGGTGACTGATAGACTGGCTCATTCTCCTCTTCCTCATCAGTTGCATCATCAGCCTCATCGTCACTAATGTTGGCAACCTTTTCGATCTCGGTCAACTCTTTTCCATTGTAGTAGCTCTTAATGTTCTCAAAGTTGCTTTTCGACATTGAGATCATCATAGTAGCTTACTGTTGGTGTTCGAAGCTGGGTTGAGAATGTCATTTCGTCCAGTTTGTACATGAAGCATACCTTTTTTATGCAGATAGTTGTATTAGTTTTTTCAAAGATTATCATTTATATGTAAAATATATGAGTAACACGGTTGAAATGGCCAAGGGAATGGAGACTTACTGTAAGGAAGTGAAGATCTGCACTGACATAGAGGTTTGATGATTTCAGCCTTCATTCATGTGTTTGAAGAAATATTTGCACCAGTTGTAGCTGGTGAAATGTTTCAGTTCATCAGTCTTCAAGTACTCAAGCATGTTGAGTTCAACCATAGGGGCTGAAGTTGGACACAGCAAGCCTCCGGTGACCAGCAGAAAGAACAATTGTAACCATCTCTTAGTGTTTGTAGTTGTAGGAAGATCTTTTTCTACCTGACTTAGCTTTACCCTTGGAGTGGATGTTCCATCTACTTCCAGTAGGGTTTCTATTGCATAATCTGCTGCGTCGTCCCAAGAAATCATGGGAGGTACAACTTCCCTATTCCCCATCGGCAGACCATATACTCTATGAAAGTCGATTGGTGATATCTTCATGCGTGTCCCGTCAGGTAGCTTGAACGATTCTTTCATTGGATTGTATTTGTTCATTACGAACAGTGCAAAATGATTGTTTATCTTTGTCTGTCTGATTGATATTAAGCCTGCTAGGCCTAATATCTCAAGTTGCGCTTTCCGCTCATCTGTTATTGTCCTTGCAATTGCAGATACTTTTGTTGGGCTGCACCTTGTGCGAAAACTTTGTCTTGGTTTTACCATAGTGTACCTGAATGTAGAAATTAGTAATAGTCTGTTAGTATGCTTTTTACCATAATATACCATATGGTACCATAATGGTTTCCTACCATACCAAATCAAACCATATATTTATCACATTTTACCATATGGTAATTACATGAAACCATGTCTTATAACATCTTACCATATGGTAACGAAGTAAAACACAACAGGACTTATGTTTTTCCTCCATTTTTAAAACATGAAACTATAGCTTACCACACATTACCATATGGTAGCAAACTAAAACACAGAAGGACTTATGGTTTTTTGCTATTTTACAACATGAAACCATAGCTTACCACACATTACCATATGGTGACAAACTAAAACACAGAAGGACTTATGGTTTTTTGCTATTTTACAACATGAAACCATAGCTTACCACACATTACCATATGGTAACAAACTAAAACACAGAAGGACTAATGGTTTTTTGCTATTTTACAACATGAAACCATAGCTTACAACACATTACCATATGGTAACAAACTAAAACACAGCAGGAGTTACGGTTTCTTGCCTTTTATAACATGCAATCATAGCTTACCACACCATACCATGTGGTAACGAAGCAAAACACAACAGATTCTACATTAGTTCAGCAACGCATGGTAACGATTCGATAATGTAGCGAGTTTACTACAATTTTCACATAAAGAGTGACTGAAATACTGTTTCTATTGTTCTGTGGATGGATTTCGAAGAAAGAAATGAGGTTTTACCTTGATATTTTGTGCGAAAACGATTTTTGAGCCTCGTTGAAGTTGGAAACCCTTCGTTTTTCGACGAAGAAGCGAGAACAGTGAATCGTTGAATGATTCTTCGAAAACCTTTGCGAAAATCCTTCGATTTTTGAAGTTTCGTCTGTGTTTTCTGAAGTTTTTGGTGCGCGATTGGATGAAGAATGGAGAGTTAGAGAGCAGAGGGAAGTAGAACTATCGCATGAAAGGTGAGAGAAAGAAGGAAAGAAGGCGGCACGGTTTAATGTCACGTCTTCTTTTCAAATTGTCAGATCGAAGATTACTATTTTGCCCCCCGTGTAGTTACTTTGCATGATCTGACGATTGAAAAGATGATGGAATGGACGGTGGATAGGGCTGTTACTGATGCTAAGGTTACTAATGCTATGGTTACTGAGGGGATCCGGACCCTACTCGGCACTCCCATAAACACGGGCACCATTATTGGCAACTGCTAACCTCAAGCTAGCCTCCTGAAATTGGTGGCTGGGAAAGAGAACCCTATATAACCAAAACTGCAATCCAAATTTGCACCATTTTCCTCCCTGCTGTTTAGCCCAGGGATCCACTTAACCAACAGTACCACCAAGAAAACAAAACACAAGTATATATAGTACAACATTTCAAAGTCGCTGGTTTTCAGCTGAAGAGTGAATGTTGGGAGGATGGTTGTTAGCAGAGTCCAACACCCTCATGGCCCTCCAATCAGACTCTTCCTTGGGCTGCCGAAGAGCGACAAAGTGAAGCGCATCACTCTTCACCTGATAAATGTGACAAGCCCATGGATACGAATCTGGAGCAATCCATATCCTCTGCTCTTCAAACTCCGTCTCTTCAACCAGCGATTCTGCTACACAATGCACCGTGTTTGCTTCCGGCTCCTCAAACCCGGGCACCGCCACGCAGCCGGGAGCCAAGAATCCTTCTGGGGCCCTCGGGTGCCATATCGATACTGGGGTCTTGTAGTCGTCCTCGCAGTTCCTCCAAACCTGAATTATCGTTTGTCATTACCAAAGCAGTTTTGAGTAACCGTATGTAATAGGGTGCGGGGTGGTGCATTTATCCATCCTTACCAGATCATATCCAACTGGAGGTTTGAAATGTCTGTCCACATAACGATAAACAGCAGCGACGTTTGGTGGATGGATTCCGACGTGAGCTATGTCTCCTACAGAGACGAATCTGAAACATTGAGGAAACAACATTATATATACTCCCGCAGAATGGTTCTCTGTTTTGCAGTATAAGTGGGATTCCTAGGCCGAGACAATGAAGACAGAAAGTGGCATACTATGCAGCTTACTCAGAAACCAAACATAGCAGAATAGAACACGTAATAGAGAGAAAACAGATAAACGAGGAATTACCCATCCGGACAACTGGGCCTCCATATGCTGCATATGCTACTATCTTCTATCACCTGAATCAAGGACAACATGTTTTTACAGATTACTGCTGTTTTGCATTAGGATCTAACCCAAATCAAATAAAGCTGATAACAGAGTAAAAAATGGCACCACTCGCTGAATGTTCAAGCTATTATGAGTGCACACCATTTTATAACCAGATTACCTGCTTCCTGCACAATTTGCATCGACCTCTAGTTTCTTGCTCACTGCTCCAAATCTTAACAAAGTTGATAGTGTGCTTAACAAATCTCAAGTCATCAGAAGAAGAACTTGCAGAGTACAGCTCCCTAGACTTCAGTATCGATTTATTAGGATTTCGTGGTTCTCTTCCATTTCCTTCACTCCAAGCAAAATAAACATGCCTCTGGCTCGCCGGAACCTACTCATAGAAGAATCCACCGTTGGAAAGTGTTCAAGCCAGTTAAATAACAATCAAAAGCTGAGTCAAATGCAAATTTTGTACCTTCAGAACCAGGTTCTTCATGTCAGACTTGTATGCTTTCCATATTCTGTGCACCACCGAACATATCTTCACAGCTTGAGGCTCCCTTTCCTCATTTCCATCCTCGACAATGCACTTTATGACCCGGACAAAAGATTCAGGTTTCCTGAAATTCTTGAGGTGGAGTAGTAAGTGAGAAGGCTGTTGGTAGCCTGCTTTCGCCAACTCCAATGCCATGAGGTCTTCCCATGGGACGTCCCACAAGATCTTGGAGGCTTTCTTATTCATCTTGTCAAGAGATGGACACTGGAAAAACATGGATGTTAGCAAAAGATAATGATATGTTAATTACATGGTTGTCGAAATCGGAACTTACATAAAATCAGAAAGTATTTTCAAAAAGAATGTCTCAAACCTGAAGCAGCATGACTCGTTTATTGGTCACCATAACAATCCTTTGATAAGGAACGATGAAATGATCCTCATAATAGTCGGTCAACGCAAATTTAGAGGGTTCTTTGAATATTTCAGTGCATCCAAATTGGCGACTAGCTTCTGCAAGGTAAAGTACCATCTATATACCAAGAGAATCAGCACAAATACCAATACTTGATGTTGTAAGCTAATGAAACAATTCAGAAAGCCATAAAGAATTCCAACTAGTATATTTACTCGGACCAACAAGCAGTACTCATACGGCAAGACAAATAATACAGGTAATTGGACTTTCAAATGCAGAAGGTATTTCAATGACTATGAAGGTACTAAAAGTTTGGTACAGGATAATATGCAAAATTTAGATTTTTTCTCTTTGTTTTGTCAAGTGAAAGTAAGTAATCACTTGATGGGAAAAAAGATCACAGAACAAACACCACAACTATATTGTTAGCCACGTCAAATGTTTTGAACATTAGAAGGGTAGCACTTTTACCTGGCCGACGGCTTCTTTCTCATTGTACTCCCGCAGCATAAAGTCAGCGTGCATAGCCCGAGGATTTCTTACTCTCTGGTGGATGGTTTTGTTATTAAGCACCTCCAAGCATTTGGAACAACTTGCACCAATCCCATCAACGGTCAAGGAGAAAAAGTCTAGTGCCCCACTAACTGGCTGAACAAAAAACCCTAAGAAAGCACGTCCAAGTCCATGAGCAAGCCCTAACACACCATTCTGCCTAGCACTTTCGACTGGCTTCCTCACCACTCCAGATACCCCAAAGGCAACACCTTGAGCTAAAGCTTCAGTTCCTTGCATTATTCCATCACCCACACCAGTTATCCTCCTTGAACGCACCTGCCACGTAGAACAGTTACATTGATGTGTATTTATTTCGACATAAAAACAACTTAAAACTAAAACACAAACTTGCAGCTTTGTTATTTGCAATAAGAATATATTCTTTAAATTATACCCATAACAATTCTCATAGTCCACTCATTTCTTTATTACTACACAAATTATCCATCATCCCAGTAAGTATTTTTTTATTGCTAAAAAAGTATCATATCACCTCGACCTTTTTCTAGACCCATACCGAACATTTTTTTCCCCACATCACTAAAGAAAAAGGAAATGAAGTCATTTCTTTCGAAGCAAAAGCTAAATAATCACAGCCAATAAATATAAGAATACCTGCTTGGACCGTAGTTGCATAAACTGTCCATCAGTTGAAAGCTCAGCAAACCCTTTACTGAGAGAAGCCAACGTTGAACTCGTCATACCAAGTACATCTACCGAAAACAACAGATGCAAAGGATTATGGATAAGGTCTCTCCAGATACGCTTTCCTATTGCTGGAGCAATCGAACTCTTCCGCATGAACCTGTCTCTGTGCATCGCCCTCCTTAAATGTACCTTAAGGTACGACACAGGGTTAATATACCTCAGTTCCAACTGACTATAATCTGCATTCTATAACTAGAAAGGGAGGACTTCACATCATGCGAATTAATTTAGTGATCAGGTGAAGGTATTACGTCGGTCGTACATCCATTACAAGCATATTCTGCACTCACGACGTGGAAACATTCATTACAGAAATTATCGCTTATCACAGTCCTTAGTCTCCCTTCAGGTTGATATTTATTATGACAAACAACAAACGATGTGGAGAGAAACTACAGTTGAGGATATCTCGACTCCTTAACACCTACTTCATGGAAGCGAAAACTGGAAATCACATCTCTAACAATAGTCACAAAAGCAGTAATCTACTTTCAACTTATTTGATTATCTGTGTTTCAAAGTTTCTTACACAGTTGTCATTCCTTGTTGCTAAAGAAGTCGGAGATAATTTTCTCCAGCAAAAGTTTAACTTTTGCATGGCTTTTCAATAGTGGAAAGTGGAAACGCCTAGCTTCAGCAACGTAAGCTCTAAGAACAAAGGCACAACCATTCTTAATTGCAGAGCAAGGTTTTCAGCAGAACTTCCACATATCTTAGCTTTTATCAGGAAATTAAATAAAAAAGGCATCAAGGACACACAAGTGAGCGCACCTGAATTTTGAATGCATTCCCAACAGCAGAGAGTACTGGGCTCCATACGCCAAGAACCCCATGTGGCCTCTGAGAAGGGGCAGTCTCAAGGGACACCTTCAACCTTACTTCTGAAACGTCTATTAACCTGACAGAAATCAACAATTATGTGATAAGAATGTCACTACTGTAAGGTCAATACTCCAGCTGAATGTGGCAATTTGCATCTTCTAGGGGTATATTCTCAAGCATTATCATCTATTCTTATCTTTTTCTTTTCGCAGTGAAAATAACTCGATAAAATTTCACAATCTGGTAACTATTAACAAAAATTCCATGTGGAGTAACCTAAACGAAAAACAGAGAGGAAAACCGGTTGGCTCATAAAAATATCTAGGCCTTTGAGCAAACAATTGATTTAAGCACAAGGTAAAACCGTGCATGCTTCCATGTGAGGGGTTAGGACTCAATACTGAACCTCCCCTAGAAACTTGACCATTTGAAGACAAATTACATACGCAACAGCAGCCTGTTTCTTCCATTTCCCGTTCCAAAAACACTAGCAGGCGCTATAACAGGACATTGGAGGATAATCTAAGGGAGCAGTCAGAAAATCTTCCACAGTGTATGTGAGAGGATAACTTACTGCAGACGTATCTCTGGATCAACTTGTGCAGCACCAGAGGTTTGAGGCAAAGAGTTCAGCTGTAGATTGCTATAGAAATCCACTAACGCCCAGATGATTGGTTCGTGAATATTAAGCCTCCAGACTTTTTCAGTCACCTATAGTTCAAATATTGCACAAATAAGTTCTATAGATTCATTCATATTGCTCAATGTTGCAAACAGGCTATAATAAGAAGTCCTGTCACAAAAGCCTTGGTCTATTACCCGAATGTATATATATGGGTAGACCAGGATGCCATCAGTATTCTGATTGCACACCATGACTGTCATCTTAAACACTGGGTGGTGCACATTGGCAGACTGATCAGGAGCCAAAAGCACTGGCATCAAGGTCAGAGGGAGCTGGTTGTCAAATTGCAGATAACCAAGTATCAGCTTGAACCTGTAATAAACAAATATCTGAACCATCAACTTTGTTTCTTCGGTCAATCTGAAGCATCAACTTTGACTTGAAAGAAAAACGACAGTCAATGTGGGATATTCGAAGCATCAATTAAATTACAACAAGGCAGAAGAATGAGTTTGTTACAGAGTATTCAGAAAACAAACCACATACCTGCTTGTTGCTCCACCATCACAGCCAGTTGAGTATGATATAAATACTCTCTCAAAATACATGTATGTTAACTCTTTTGGCCTGAGATCCACAACAGAAATCCCAACCACTCCAAACTCTACTATGAGTTCAACAGGGATGCTGTTACTCTGCACATCATTCCTCACATAGGAAATGCCCCAATTTCCAGGTAACACCATGACATTGCTCCCTTCCATTAAAGGTCCAACTTTATAGTCAATAAATCTAGCAACCTTGACATCTCCTATTTCAACAATCTGGAACTGCAATCCTCTCTCCTCATCCACTGCAGATGGCACTCCGCTGCTTTCTAAATCAAGTTTCCAAACATCCATTCTGCTTTCATTGAGAACCCTGGCATCAAGACATTTTTGCCCATAGGGATCTTCCCAGGAAAAGCTTGTTGTTGAAACGGGATTCACATTAATCCAAGCATCCTCAGAAAACCCAGATTGGCGGATGCTTATTGTCTTGCCAAATGTTCTGTTCTCAATCCTGCGAATCAAATGTTTATCGTGAAGCCACTGCTTTTTACCTAACACAAGTACTTGTGATAAGGACAACATTTTGAAAATTTGCAGACGACTTACCTGATAGGACCATTGGTTGGTCCCAGACGAAATACGACTATAAAGCGTGATCCTTCCTCAAAGCCCCGAACTTCCATGCTCAACAACTTACGAGCACCACTTGGTTCTCTCAAAGCTAGAAATACCGTGTCCTCCTTTGCAATTTCCAATGGATAAGACCACTGTGTATTTCCTAACTGAACCTGCAAGAAATAAAACAAGGATCAAATGCTAATTGATATATTTCCCTTCAAATGATCAACCACGACAAGAGACAATGCAGAAACATTTGGAATAACACAACTATCTACTAACCTGTAGTTTATTACTACCAGCTATTCTTCGATGCAAAAATGAGACTCTTGAATCATATGACCGGAGAACCTTTGGGTCATCATGAGCATTTAGTCTAATAAGGATGTCCTCACCAAGTCTGTTCGTAAATGTAATGAATGGGCGAATAGAAATGACCTAGCAGAGGGAGATAAACAGTCAGAAACTTCAAGCGATATCTTTCTAAAGATTCTGAAATTAATTTAAAAGTACCTTTGTTGGAACAGATTGGTAGGGACTCGGCTTCGCAGAAACAAAAAGCTGCATGCAGTTACCATCGGCATCATTTGCATAGATATCCAATGATCCATCCTAGCAACCAGAAACCAAAAATATAACAGAGGAAGGAAGATTATGGTGAAGTTCATAACGGAAAACAAAAGAAGACCGATAGTATTCATGTACCAGATTGCTCAATGAAGAGAGATCTTTGACAGGGCCAAATTGAGGTTCCTCCCCAGACTCGGTGATAGAAACAGAGAGGCCCATCAGACTAAAATTCAAAGCCGAAGCGATTGTATATCCTTCATTTATTTCGTCTTCAGTTATCTCCCCAAGAACCGTATCACTGCTCTTTCTGGACTTGAATGGAAGAGTAATCTTCCGGCTGTGCTTCATACCTGCCAGGTCCACAAGCCTACAGGTGATCCCAGGACATCTGGAAATTGAGAACCAGTAAGGAGCATACACTCTAATGGTCTTAGCCGACAGCGGTCGCTCGTGATCATAATTTTGCTCAATTAATAGTTGAACAACCCTGCAAGTTCAAAGATAGAGAGGAATATCAAACAAGAAATGAATATGAATATTCCAGAAACCTCCAGTAAATGGAACGACAAAAAGGTGGTGGCCTATAACAATACCTTCCGGAAATCGAACTTCTTAAAGTCATTGTCCTTGAGGGTGCGCCCTGGGGTTGTGATATAAGAATAGCTTCCTGCAAGCAATAAAGGAAAGATAAGTGTGTGCATGCAGGTAACATCGATAAAGAAGCCAAATTATCCTTTATATCTTACATTTATTGGTAACCATCCTTTCTGTGGAAGCAGAGACAAGAACAAATGATTTCTTATATCAGCTGTATGAATCCTTACTGTTTTACCAGGAGAAAATATTCCCCTTTCACATGCAACAAAATGACCATCTGCTTGTCTATCAAGAACAGAGTACTCAGCTGCAAGGGGAAGATAGTTGCTAATAGACAATGGAGATTTGACCACAAGCCTCCAATCCTGGATAGGGTCGGAACGAATGTCCTTTGCAATTTCTGTAGCCTGGATGCTCACTGAAAACCAATAACTAGGTGAACTACCTGAAGACGTACCAGTTATCTGCGTGCAGGACAAAAGTTCCTCAGACTCCACAAGGGATGATAAACATAATTGAGTCGAAGCTCTGGGCCCACGTGAATCTTTTACTTGATTACTTGTATCCACCACTGAACTCCAGGAATATTCACTCGGCAAACCCGGATTTGAAGGTCTTAACTGCAAGATGTACATTGCAGACTGTGTCAAGCCTCGCAATGGGACTGGTAGAGTCTCTCCGGGTCTCAACAATCCAACAGAAATTTCAGGCGTCAACTCTTTTGAAACTTGTCTTCGATTCCTGATCCATCTCCTTTGCCTCACACGATTCGTAGAGTTCAATTTATCAAATGACTCGGGCCATCTTAAACTTTTTATATCTGGAGAGTATACCCAACCATCATCGTTATCGACAGGTGATGTATCCAAATGCCAATCATCAGTCCACTCCCAGTCTGAAGGCAACTCAACCTCAGGTCTTGCCTGTATAATTGAACACCATCGCATCTCAGATAATAGCAACAAATATAGTAATTTTCCTTGAACTACAAGACTTGGTCAAATTCCATATTGGTCACAGCCAATTTGCCATGTTTCTAACCACAAGGTAATATCATGACAGAACACGATTATTAAGGAGATTTGGAAAAAAAAATGAAGATACACTTGTCCTTTTCATCCGTTATTGTAGCTTGGACAGCAGAATGCCTTTAAGAACTATACATGAAACAACATCATGACTAAGTTGCAAGAATTCAATGAACTATACACCCTTTGGTCAAGTAAAACAGTTTTTCTTAGCCTGATGTAATTCTGTTAAGGTGCTTCTTAACCTAACACTCAGAAAGTCAGTACAGCAGGAGATCAGTCACTATTCCAAGCTATTCAAGAAAAATGCAACGAAGACCTTCTAGGGGGGAGGCTGATCAGTCTTTATGGATTCATTTATTACAACTTGCATGACAGAAAGCAGGAAATGACAACGCATAATTTAGGAAGTGGCAATACATGCTTCCCCAATCATCAGACTTTGGACAATACAAACTTTTTCCGACCAGAACCCTAAACTTACGAAAACAGACGGGACTTCCATGCAGGCTGTGCGTGAAAGAGAACTGAAGAGAAAATATTGCTGACTTACCCAACCATTGCCAGAGCAGGAGGAGCAGCTTACCCAACCATTGGTGGGGTCATATGTTTGAGTTTCAAAATACTCCTCAACCTGAATTCCATCATTACCAATGTCCAAAGCTTCAGAGCTACTTGCCTCCTGTGACCTGACCATCTCATAGGAACTTTTGGATACCAGCCGAGCATCAAGCAGAAAGTCGGTGTCGTTCCGAACAGAAACCAGAGACCTTATAGTCACATATCTATTGCCATCCCTCACATTCACTTCACTGGCAACAACATCGTTTCCCAAACGCCAACAAGCAGCAGGTGCAGCATAGTTTAGCCTCACACTAGTCCAAGGTCCTTCATCATTAGGACTTATTTGAATATTTCCAGATTTTTGGCCAAGAATAGGAAAGTTGTCTCTACTATCCACTTCTGACAAAGACGATGAGAATATAGCACATCTTAATTTCCCAGAAGACTTTCCAGGTTCATAACCTTGACCCGTAGTCTGCATGGAAATACCAACACTTAGACGTATTTGTCAAGGAAAAAAACACATAAAAGAACAAGAGATCTTTCCTAGATGTACAATTTACTTGTTTAAAACTGTCCACGATAAGAGACTGAATTACCAAAAAGAATAGAAGACAAAAGATGGTTATACCATGGATTTCGCGGAAGACAACTCTATCCAACTCAGGTAATCTAAATAATCATATTTACGAAAACTTCCTTCGATACTTCTTGTAATTTGTTTCAGAGGAGAAGAGAAGAACCCAACAGGATCACCTAAAACAAGAAAACCAATTCAATGAAGAACAGTCAACTGTATTTATATAGAAGATCACTCTGGCAATATGCCATTTTTTTAAGGGAAGATTGTAATGGCATTATTTTCTGTACACCTTTCCCAATGTTGGTCACAAGGAGTTCCAGCATGTAATTTTCCTGTCATAGAAAACTTTGTTAAACTGAGATCTTGCAACAGGCAATACATGAAGATTTAAAACACAGTGCAAAACATTGCTCTGGTTATGATATAGAAAGCAAATACGGAGTTGGGAAACTGAAAGCAAGTATGTTGGGAAGATTTTTCTTCGACAGGACCAAAACTGAAATAGAAACCCAAAACGATTGCAATCATAAGGCAACTTTTAATGAGATATTTTGCAGAGGTCTAACTTGTAAGCAGGTGATTAAGACAATGCTTACACAGGATAATTAAATCACCACGCAGAGTACACGCATAAAAAAAATATGTACACATCGACAAAGATAAATGCACATTTGGTAGATATGAGCATGCATGTATGGATATATTAATGTAGAACTGGAATAGTCGAGAGCTTTTGATCCCAAATGCATGAAGCTTCAATATAGATAGCTCTTGATGTAGAGATGGGCAAATATTGAAACCAGATTTGGCAAAATAATACTGCCAGGCTCACTTCGGTTGGGGTTTAATTTCAAATTTGGTAAATGGTAGAATAGCTTCTGATAGGTATTATACTTTTTCATGTACGCCACTAAATATCCAGCAACGAAGGAGCTATAACAGCACTTTGCAGAAGGGGGGAAAAGGACAAAAGAAAAATAAAGGAAGTCTTCCATACCGGAGAATCAACTTTGAAAAAAAATATTTCATTCCAAGTTACAGATTCGAGCTCTGAAGTGCCATCAGCTGAGATGCTTCCACTAGTACGCCGACTTTGTTTATGAGGCTCTGAATCAGCTGCAATGTCTCCATTTCGACGAAGACGGACAGCTACAGTGTACAGATTAGACGTCAAGCCTTCCAATCCTGGAAGCTGCAAGAACAACCTTGAAGGACTAAGTGACATGAACGGATAAACCCAATACACACACGTGTAGATTCTAGTCACCATATGAACCACAAATCAAGCACTTTATGAACATCATTCTAAGATCAAAATGTCTGAATTCCCAATAAAAACCAAAGAAAATAGTATTTCCTTTACTAATGAAATTAAATAGCTTTATGTTATCATATCCCGATTGCAACCAACATCTGCACCAAATGATTCACAAAACTAATTCCATTCTTGATTTATGCTTAAACAAAGAAACTCTCCATGCACGCTCGCAGCCAACCGTATGTAAGGTGACACATAAACTCATGGATCAACAATGCGATGAACAACCTGATTACATATGGTCACTAAGATTTGCCATCACCGCCAACTATAGCTAATAAATTACAGAATCACCCACTGATGTCGAGTTCTTTGTTCCAGATATTTTAAGAGGATTTTCAGCATGCAATAGTCATAGCAGCACAAAGTATCAACGATCCTCGTCCGCAAAGAAGATCTAGAGATATATTTTTCCTTTTCAATAGTGAAATCAGATCCAAGTCATGTCATTAATAGCTCAACTCCAACCATAAATAGGGGAGTGCGTTAGTTTATAGAGCTGAAGGATTCAAGTGTCCTCAATAGTCAATAGACTACTAAGTAAATATGAAGCTAGACAGTAAACATGAGCATACATTTATCACAAACACCATCCAAGATGCAGCCTAATATTGTTCAATAGGAAGGTTCGTATAGCCCGTCCCTTATTCTCTCTTATTTGGTCACCCTAGTCCCAACTGAGACTTAAATAAAAAATACAATGGAGCTAAGATTTAAACACAGAAATGTAGCCTCCATAAATAGAAGAGGTAATGAAAACACAATCCACATTCGATTAAGAATCAGCTCTACAGTTGATGACTTTGACCGGTCTTGCAGTCATTTGACAAATAGAAAGTAAGTCATACCTGGGCATCTGCTATTATAACTGTCACCATTGCCTTTATTTTGAGGCATCGTTTCCCTTTCAAGTGCGAGTCCAACATGTTCTTGGATACAGGAACTTTCACAGGTTTCATGTCCCCGGACGGCATCCTTATAGAATTTGACAGACCCCTGTTTTCTGCTGTTCGTAGGAAAATGTCCTTACCGAGCTTGTTTTGTGGAATTATAAAAAAATTCCGTTTATGATGGACAGCAACAACAGAGGTAGAATTGTAGGCAGGAGAATATGATTCCTGTCCAATAAAGCAGGAAACTAAGCAACGCAGCAGTATTTTCAAGGCACACCCTGTGTATAACAGACGGAAGAGTCAGAAGGCCAAACTTACTCTATTGCTGTATTCTTCGTGGACAGTACTGAGATTACTCCAACTTGCATAAGCTTGAATGATCATGTTAGCGTTAGACACTGATATGTTGACATTAAGATCCCTAGTTGAGGTCAAACGCAACTGAGAAGCTGCTCCTGAAGCATTACCGTCATACTGGTACCTGTAGCAACCAGAATTTACTTCCAACACAGAGAAGACTGCTATGCTATGCAGCTGACTAACCCAAAGATTTCAAGGTAATTTCATGAAAATTAGGTCAACTGGAAATATCAAGCATTAGGTCATGGATTTCATGCACAACAGATGTTTCATATCTAAAACACAAGTCCTACACGGATTCCAGGGAAATGATACCTTAGAAAAATATCTACTGCCTCAATGAGTGGTTCCCATGCTTCATATTTATCGTTATATGATCTGGCAGCCAAAGAAAAGCTGGCAGTAGAATTTGAGTACTCGGGCCTTCCATGTGAACCAATCACCACCCCACTTAATGACACATTGCACAACGGTACCATCTGCAGATTGGAGCAGACAAACCAAACAACCCAGATAAATAGATACCTCAATTGAATTCCCCAAAGATGTAATCATGGTTTGGATAGAAGAGTACAGGCAAACCAGAGAATAACATTGCACACTTCAATAATATACTTACTCAGCTGGACCTTGAAGTCAAAAATAAAATCACCAGCAAACAACCTCGATAGTCAAGGCCCTAAGCACCAATGTAAGTCTAGTACGATCAGAAAAGCTGGCGAATTGTTGCATTCACATCATCACAAAAAATGGTGTTTGACAAGGTCTAAGACTCTAATGCATAACGAACACATTGGTGAGTTGATTTTTACTTCCTCCCTAGAAATTCCTAAGTTGTGACAGACAATGTACAATTCCTTGAAAGTAGATATCTTTCCCATCAAATCTGCCGCAACAATAGAATGATAGAAACAAAGAGGAAAATCAGCAATCAATAAAACAAACAGCAATGTATGTCAATAAACTGACAAGTATCACGATGTCAAAGAAAAAAAGGAATATAAAGAAAGTGACAAGTAATTCTTCAGGACCCGGTATGGTAACTCCAAAAAATTCTTCAAGATACTGAAATTTTTACCAACAACCAAGTTGCTCACATCAGATCAGAAATACAATGCTAAGGTATCATATTGAAAATTATTATTCCGCCAGATTTGAAGAACTCTACTCCTGAATTTGACCACCTTCTAACATTCAACAAATATAAAGGAAAATAACTAATATATCTTACCAAGCCACCATAGTCATCAAAAATGGCTGCAGATAGGGTTCCAATTTCAGCATCGATCACAGTATCATCTGAACCACTTTGTGGATTATCTGCCGGCTTTAGAGCAAACCTTCGAGGTGGTTTTTTTAAGCCATCGCGTACAATAAAGGTCCCTGACTCGTTCCCAACAGCCCATAAACTGAATGGTTCTGTTGTTGACCTGCTGTCAGATGTATCCCACAAACTTTCTTCCAAGAACTGATCCCCCACAACCATGTCACTGCGCAAGCATCTTAGTTTACTGAAATCGTTCTGTTTCGGGGAGCCTTTACAAGCAATACAACCCAGTGAAACAAAGCCAGGTGGAGCTTGTGGCATCCAAAAATTTATATTATCTACACCCCTCTGTTTCTTAATTTGTCCAACAAGGTGGTAGTTGAGTGGAGCTTTAAGAATTTCCTCATCTTCCATGTTATGAAGGACAATGCAGCTATTAGGAGGCTCATACCTACATGCCATGAAACCAAATATAACTCTTATCTCCACAGGAACATGAGTACATTAAAGATATTTAACCACTGTCAGAGCTACATACCCATTAACTGCGATATCACCAAAATATACCATCCCCTGCGGGACCACTGGACGCCATATGGATACTTTCTTCCTTGAATTTGCAGATCGATTCGACCAAAGAGGTTGAAAAGAAGAAACTTCTTGGAAACGTCTACCAGAGTTTGCAGCAATAGATTGTTCTGGATTCAATGTGTTGGCACAACCAGGAGGAGAATCCTGCACTTCTGAATTTTTCAATGCATTTCGGAGGACTTTTGAATATCCATATTTTTCAGAACGCAGTTCATATGCACTACCAGTTACGGCGAGTGATGTAGGATCAGCAGGTAAAAAGGTACCGAAAGAATTTTTCACACGCCAAAAGGCCAAGCTGGGTTCTCGCCTGTAAGTAAATGCAGAATCACAAGAAGAATAAGAGAAGAAACTGTAAGAAATTAAGGTCTATGAGACAAACATATGAAATCCAGAATTGTATAGCAGACAACTTGGACCTTACAACATTACAAGAAAAAGAAAGCAGAAAAGAGTCTTGGACAATTAGAGTCTAGAGAACTGCAACTGGTGTTGACATGCAAATGATTTACAAAAACTAGTGAGACATATCTGGATATGCAATAGTATTAGTATGAGAGAGAAATTTCCTTCTGCCCACAGCTGCATTCAAGCATGCACAGCCAACCATAATCCAAAAACTTTAGTTAAAACATTCAACCTACCCATAGGTCGAGCTGATGGCAACACAATCCCTCAATGAACAGGGAGACACAAGAGAAGCTAAGATGCAAAACACTGAAGACAAAGATGGAGGCATTATATCTGCAGAGGCCACGCAGCCCAGTGCAACATAACCTCTTGGCGCCTCAGGGAACCATATTGAACAACTGTCTTCCGTGCTGACAACGCCAGGTGTCAACACTTTAGGACTGGTTAAATGTTGATTAGCAACTTCCCTTGAAGTTGATGATGACCATATCAACTTAAAAGATAACGGTCTCTTCACTCTCACTAGGTTTGTATTTACAGCAAGAACTCCTTTAGTAGGTGGCTTGTCCCTGGCAAGAGAAACCGTTGTTAAGAAAGACGCTGGCAGCAGAAATGAATTAACAATCATTCCAGAGTATGAAGTTACTGACAGTGGTGTCAGGTAGTCACCAAGCACTGCAAAGCCAGGAGGAGCACGGGGTCGCCAGAAGACATACACTTGATCATTACAGGAATCTGTAAACAAATGAACAAAGTTTCAAGTCTTCAGATTTTGAAATCCCTTGCCATTTGCATGATATAGAAAACAGAAGAAACAAAGCACATACTTCGAAACATTCCAACTTTGTCAAACTCAGAACATGATACTGTCATCTCTTTTGAAGTTGTCCTCAGGAAGGCCAAAATGTCATCTTCAACTGCTAGAAACAACTTCAAGACACTAAAAGTAAAATTCATGAATATGTCTGAAACAGATACATGTATGTTTGTTTTTCCAGAAGCTTTGGAATATTTAATAAATGTATCAAAGGGCTCCACGATCCTGATTGAATTGCTTTCCACCATCAGACCAAGTGCTTCTGCAGTCATGTCAACTGTATCACCCTTCATTACAATCCTGATGATACAGAGACCCCGTCAATTCATGAAAAGGAATCATGAAGACATTTCTCATACATATTACAAAAACCTGCAGATCCTCAGACACTTAATTCTAGCCCAAAATGTCATATAGTAGGAAAAATTCGAGAAAACATGTCTGGGAAGGCCCTTAATTAAGGATCTAACTTACAGCCAAGGGTTACTTAGGACCCTAAGGTCTTGCTAGGTCACTTAAGCCCTCTAACTTGAAACAATGGTCACGCTGGAGAATTTCCATGTGAAATTCGAGTGCAGAAAAAACTTGCTCATATTTGTAAGCTGAAAGACTACCGACACTTTAAAAGCTAGAGAACTTAAATTCGTCCTGTTGAAAGTTACAGAAACAAGTAAGCAAAAACTGAAGTTTGAAGGACCTAGTTGACCATTTATTCCAACAAGTACACAAAATAACCGTAACTGAGGCAGCTTCATATGATGGGTCCTGCCCAAGTGAACTGAGAAAATAGACAGCAGGGTCGACCCGTTGGATATGAAAACAGTATTTCACTTCAGTATCAATTGGAACGAGCATTCACAGCCAATGGCCCACACAAAACACTTTGAAAAGCATCAATGAGTGGCCGTTTCAAAAAAGACAGTCTTTTACATGGCAGAGTAATGCAAAACAGAAAATCAATTGGAAAAAAGGTAAACAAGTAGTTTTTATAGTAATATAAACTCTTACAAAAACAAAAAACTCTTACAAAATCAAAGCCAAGAACATGGAATGTTAAGAAGTTAAAAAATTGAAGTCAAGAGAATAATAATGAAAATGTCACTGACTCACTGTGACAATATATGACATTCCTACATATCGAAGAGGGTCACTACTTAACTTTGGATATAAGTATATGGATCGCTCTTGAGACAAATAACCAATAATTGGAGAAAGCATACAAACCGAAGAAACAAAAACAATCAGATGTCAAATAGCTCCCACCCATAAAAGACAAACGTGAAGGAGTATGACCTGGAAAATACATCCAACTGTGCATGCAACAGCTTGCTGGAAAGAATCGAAGACACCCCCAAGTTCCTCGATGCACTGTAAAAAGTCAGCTCAGGGCCAATAGCCTGTAAATAGTGGCAGGTAGACATAAGAATATAAATGTTGGATATGAACCTGAATCCTAGAAGCAAAGTTTTAACAAATAGCATTTGCAAGAAACAGCAACAGCAACAGCAACAGAGTCAGCAGCAGAGCCATAGAGAGCCGTGCTGATCACTTAAATTTAACCAGAATGAAAAATAAATCGATCAATCAAGGCACAAGGCATGAGCACAGCAGATTGATGGTCCAAATCCTCACATATAGGCACAATCCTATCTTCTGTCACAACTTTGATGTGCACTACCAGTATGAATGCTATCATTATCTGATTTTTACATGCATATGGTTAGCATTGTATCAATTCTCAAGACCCAGCCTTCCTCACCCATAACAAGGATTGCTCTATGCGAAGCTTCTATTTTATGCACAGCTATAAACACATAAGTATCGAAGTGTGGATATTACGTATGCATCATCATCAGAAAAAGGAGTCAGGTGCCATTCATATTTAAAAAATTTCCATGCCATTGATAATCATTTGACCGGAGCAAATAAAAGTAGCCATAGCGGTACACATGAAGCAGAGTCCGGTAGGAACAAAGCTATTCACAATTTCAGTAATGAAAAATGAAAATGCAAAGTGAAAAAGAGGAAACCAATCCCTGATTCCCTGACCTGCAAATCAACAACGACCTCCATGGCTCTCTCGGCCAAATTATCTTGAGACGGTGAACCATCATGACTATTCATCAGAAGGTCTGCAGAGGGAGTGCTATCAGCCTCCTCAAGGTAGACATGATCATCCTCTGACGCAAAGTAGCAGCTATTGCACCCCAATAAAATGCAAGAATCCAAATATCGCCCATTCTAGTCAACAGAACATGAAAGGGAATAGGGGTTATATTCCTGGTGAGTATTACCAGATTAGAAAAGACTAAATAAGAAGGCAAGTCAGACCTTGATCACAACATTCCTGAACTGCAGCTTTTTCCCATCACCAACATAAATAATTGGCTCTTTGCTAGGTGCAGAGAGGTTCACTCCAAGTCTATCTTTAAGATGCAAGGTTCCCCCTTCACCGTCATATATGAAGTGCTCAGAGGCTTCACCATCAACAATCAATGGTCTCAAAGGAGAAAATGAGATTTCAACTGAAGGTTGCTTGTAAACTGGTTCAGTTACTACAACTGCATCATCTACTTCAATTGCATCATCATTTGAAGGAGTACCAGCAACCGCTGGAACAAAGAACTCAACAACAGCCAGAAGAAAATCCACTGCCACAAGGAGTTGCGGCCTTTGAACACAAAGATAAACAAATGTGGTGGACTGACTAAATTTCGCATCAAGGATGAGCATTGTAGGAACTGGCTCAATTTTCCTTTCTTTTACAGGATCAGCAACAGTCTTGTTTCCAGGATTTTGTGAAGTGTGAGTATATCCATATCCAATCTTTTTGGGTCTCCCTATAGCCAACCTAAATTCTTCTTCTGTCCCCTCCCGATCATCAATCACAGAGAAGCCTTTAAGTGTCGCTGAGAGAAACCCTTCCCCAAGGTTATTGGACTTATAGAGAAGCCATGCACCAGTAGCCTAGAACATCAGCAATTCAAAAATTAAACAAAACAGCATTATCAGCAATCAATCTGTACTTCTGAACCAATTGTTTATTAAGATGGCACAATAACTTGTCAATCCAACCTAGCAATGATGTTCGGCCACAACACTTGATCATGATGAAGACTCCAAAGGGTGAAATAGAAACCCAAGGAATTGATAAAGCAAACGTTAAAAGCATAAATCACAACCATTGAGAACCATCAAACCTAACTCGGAAAGTACCCACTCATAAATTACAATCAAATGTACAATGTGCATGGAAAAAAGTTCTAATTAGCAAAAGAAGATAACAATAATAAATTCCAAGTCCCTTTTATTGTTGGTGACCTATCAGAGAAAAAAGAAGAATAGCTCTCTAGCCAAATAAGGGACAGAACATTAATTAGAAAGTTATTTCCAAGCCAATTTGGCAAAATATGATCAATCATAAGATGTAAGAACGCTCCTCGTGGACAGCCCTAATCCCTTTTAGAAAAGTTGGCAACTCCATAAATTAGCATTTCTATGCTGGCCCAAAAAAATCCTGATGCAACGTTTTTAATATCCCTCAGGATAAGAAAATAGAGGAAGTGAATAACACAGACAAACAAACAACTAAGAACTTTAGTAAGTCACCTTGCCAAGTATCCACTCTCCACTACCAAATAGGGGAAAATATCAAAGTTAATGGCATTACTTGTATAGTTGAAAGAGCTGCATCTCTGGACCTTCCAGAATGCAAGGAGAGTTCAACCAGATTGATCATAATACCAACTTTCATTGAGACCCAGGCTCCTTCATTTGCATTTTGGGGTTCATTACCAGCTGGTTCATTAGCAACAGGTTCAACCACACGATCGGTAGATGCTGAAGAATCAGTTCTCAATTGGGGCACAGTATGAGGAGTCTCAGAAATGTTGGATAGTGCACACTCAGAAATGATCAGGTACTCCTTGTTCGATAGAGTCGCTTTTAGTTTGTCTATCTGAAGAACAAGATTCAACAACAGCATTAAACCAACATCCTTAGTGGGGGGAAAATGAATGAAACCAGCAGCAAACTTAAAAACACAATGTAAATTTCTCAATCAGAGTTCAGACTATAACAAGTAAAGAAAGCATGTTGTGGAACTCTCCACAAAATCATCCGTGACGAAATCCTTTAATTGTGCAAGTCCATACCCTTTCTCAAACTCGTTAATGTACCCTTTTTTTTCCTTCTAATCTAGCAATATGTCACTGTTATAAAATATTCCCCAAGAGAGAATCACAAACATGCATAGCTTGAGAGGAGTAGCTAATGTATATCACAAGGAACAAATTAATGAAAATGCTGATGCATAGTACTGTTTACATAGTTGGAAAGGACTGTACGCACTATCAGTGTTCCGGGAACTGATTTGTGGGTAACACTCTCTTATACTGAAGATTTGTAATTTGTCAATTCACAAACACAGACATAAACATTCACATGAGCAGACAAAAAATTATGCACTATGACATTTGACAGAACTGAGTAGATACTATACCTTAACAGTGGCTTCTATACTTGGCATGTGATGTAGCAAGTCCCGTAGTGACCGCCAAATTACAATTGAAACACCATTCACATCGCGAATTATGCTTTCACCCAATTCAGTGCCGGTACCAACATTCAAATTGATGTCCTCAACCTAAATGCCATAAGAATGAAAAATAAGACCATTTCAAGAGCCAGTCAGCAGAGGAAACGACCAACACTCTGCCAAGTCCAACAATGTAGGAAAGCTAAATGAGAAAACTCTTCTTGCTATATGTCACCTGTACAGTCAATATTTCCAAATGCACAGCGTTCATGTCACTTTTATTGCCATGCAGCCACTGGAATGTGTTCTTTACAGTTATGTGAACCACATCAAGCTTCAAGTAACTGTCAAAACATAGATCTTAGTAATTTAATAGCACATGTGACTGAATGCCAACTAAATCAGGAAAAGTGGATCATTGAGATGACTTACTCGGCACTATCAGTTCTTCGTGGCATCAATATTATTGGGCTCCTTAGAGAAAGATCCAACTTCAAAGCAGGCGATCCTTCAATTTCACTCGTCATAAACCACTTCTCAGAATTTGTCACCTGATCTTTCAATTTGACTATGCTGTTTGAGTTCTCAGGAACAAGACCCATAAAGTAACTAGCAACCTACAGGTGAAATTTGATACTAACATGAGGAGCTAAGAGAAATAATCTGACGCTGAAATACATACAAATAATGCTGGAAAATTAATCAACCTCCTGGACAAAGCGATTTAGGTAAATAAAGCGAACTTCTGAAAGCTTCCCAATAAGGCTGTACTCATAACCTTCATAATCTTCATCATCAAAACTGAATGAAGTAAACGTCAACTGCAAAAGGATAAACACAACTAAAATGTCATGAAACGCTCAAGTACAAATTGCAGGACAGGTCACATAAGAAAAACAAAATTCACAGAGTTGCGTATGTGATTATAATGATGGCAAGACAAGTGCATATGGCCTTCAAACGAAATATAGCACTCAGTCTAGTGCTAAAAGTATTCCATTCATACCCAGGAATGTATGACATTTGGCTTAAAGAAGACAAGAAAAAGCTAAAAATGCGACACTGTTAATTACCTCAACAAATGAACTGCCACCTGGATTCCTCATATCACATATCCAAAAATATGAGTGGCTACTGGGAAGACTGTCATCACTTATTCTTAAATTTCCAAGGGCTGCAACAATGCTAAAGGAGCTTGGAAAGATCTTTCCACAAAAAGACCAAATCATGAGATCAGTCATAATGTGATTACAGATACTAAATGTTGAAGTAGGGATAGATAATAAACTCACTTTTATATTTGTAAGTAAATTATCTTGTGACAGAGTAGCCAGCTTCGTTTCATTCTCATTCATCAACAAGATTTCAGCACGAGCCATATTCAATACCAAATTGAATATGACACGAGATTTTCCCTTCCCTAGCAAACCCTTAACAACAGGTTCTTGGGTTCCAACAATATCATCATCAACCAGATTCTCAGTGGACCTATCATTCTCTGTGGTTGCTGCTGAAGCACTGCCAACCGATTCATCAGTTTCTTCGTCAGTGTTGATAGCGCTAACAAACTCCATAATAGCTAGGACAGTGGGCCGACGGCAGAAAAATGACAAAGTAGCCAGGGTCAATTTTACCTGAAACAATTATCTTAAGAATGATGTCACTGCAGAATATCAGGGAAACAAGATGACCACTTGAAGCAAATAAAACACCCACCTCAGTATCAATGTTATTATATAGGGAGGAGTTCTTATCAAAAATTGTTATTTGAGCTTTCACGAAACTGTCCAAGGTATGAGTTGGCTCAAGGTTCTCATCGCCAGGGAGTAACCCAGCAATACGACTAAAACTAGGAGCCTTGACCAATGAAATTTTAGAACCAGCCGAATTTGGTGACACCAGGTCATCATTGTCAGCCAAATTTTCTGCCACTTCATAAAACCGGTCTTCTCCTTCACTAGGAGCTGAATTACAATTGTCAGGACTCTGATTGTCACTAGACTCAGAAAATGCATATCCATCTGCACTATGGACAAATGATCTGGCAAGAAATCGAGGCCGAGTGACACCGTTGCGGCAAACTAGATCTTCAATTTCCATGGACTTCACAAGAGTACCTAAGAACAGGTCATTATCCCTGAGTGAAAGTTCCACCTGAAATCACAAATAGACAACAAGTTAGATAGGGAAGATAGACAACCATCAGAGCCATAAATACTCAGCACCAATCATACCTGGCCACCTAATGCTCGGAATTCAAACAGACTATTCTCTTCAGCTTTAAGGATTTTCAAGAAACTACGTTCAGGCTGCGAAAAATAGGAAAACTTATCAGATTTTCAACAACTTTTCAGTATGGATATGAATCCTAGAGTCAAAGAAACTGTTCGGCATACTTGAAGACTGTAATTAAAGCGTATCTTGAGTTCATCCAGAACGCCAGTCAGATATATATGCTCCATCTTTAATCCCTCAGTTGCATTGAGCTGTTTATTAGGTTCAGCTTCAGAGTCCCCTGAATCAGATGAAGTTTCTGAAAGAGTAGTGATAGGCGCAGACACCTGTGGAAAAATCGAAGAGTAAGAAATGCTACTCTATGATATACAACTTACTCCAGATAGCAAACATCATAGCATCGCCAAGAAAGACTGTAAGAATTAGGGAAATGAGTATATCTAAAGTCTGCTAAAAAAAGCACCACTGGAAAAAGGCGACTTTTGAGACATGATTAATTTCTAACATAACCTCAAACAACATGGATTAATTCATTTCAAGGTTATAATCAGTCAAAAACTGAACTATGAGTTCAAACATAACCATTCTTCAGCAACCTCCGGAAATGACAAATCGATGAAAAGGTAACTAAAACAAGACGAACTATGGCATTCATTTATGATCTGCCAACCACTTAGATTTAGAGATTTATTTGCAGAAGTTTAAGGCAGAGAGCAATATCCCACGCGCCTGGGAGCCGGTCAGACAGCTGAACCAACAAGGAACTAATGAGAAATTGAGTTTAAGGAGTTACCGAAGCTCGGTAAATTGCTCCTTGAAAGCAGCTTTGCCAGTGTCTCAATGAATCATCTGAATCGCACCTCATTATAATCGCACTTAGATTTTCGACCACCTGCTGTTCAAGGATTGGAAGTGAACAACTCGGTGATAAAACACAATCATCAGTATACAAGAAGGTAGAATCTTGATCCTAACCAAGGCCCCATAGAGATTAGAGTTTACCTTCCTCCTTCTGGAGAACACACCTAGGAATGGGTTTGAAGGTTGATATATGTAGCATACCCCTGAACAGTGGGGTATGCTGGACAATCCATAATACAGAGAGAGAGAGAGAGAGAGAGAGAGAGAGAACCTTATGAACAGGATACCCAGCATCACAAATAGCCAACACATGGTCCACACCACCAACGAACTCAGCTTCAAGTTGATATATCTGCTTCCCTCTCAAGCTGCAGCACATGAATGCAGCTAGTAACTCAAACAGCAAGGATTAATATCACGCACAAGGCTGAACATTAAATTACACAAACTGAGCCTCAGTTATAATCGACATTTTCCATCAAGTCCTGAAAGCTATATTCCATCAAGGAGACACTTGCAGGTAAACCAACACATGGCAACCCCATTTTCTAACGACTTGGTAGAACGGTGCTACCATTCAAAAGGATTTTTGAAACTTATACAGGTAAACCAACATAGTATCCAGCAATACAATGATGAGGCTGTACCTAGCAACTAGACACCAGAAATTTCAAAAGCAAAATTTTCATCCTAAATGCCACAGAACTTTATGAATTCAGCCATCAAACAGAACACATAGGACAATTGGCATCGATAACCTGTTTTGCTGTAAGCTCTACCTAGAAGCAGACACGCAATTGATTGACCAAAACTTCCAAGAAATGACTCATTAGTGCTAATTACAATGGGATCTACTGTGCACTGCAGGAAAATGATCACGACATAGAGACAATCATCGTCTCCTGGTAACAGATTTCATAACCCGATAAGATCCTTGTAGAGTATTAATACAGTGATTAGTACAAAATGAGGATTCCAACTGCTGTCAATTGAGTGCAATATTACAAATACAGATTTAATCTTTACTATCAGACACTGAAAATTCTTATCATAAGTCATAGCATGGAATGTGTGCGAAGCTAAGATACTGCCTATAGGAATAATAGCCAGAGATTTCCAGAACATGTTGAAGCGATGCTATGGCTCATTTTATCTAACATTGAAAATTATAATCATAATTTAAGATAACCAACATAAAATCGCTTCATGTCCGAACCTGAGGTACTGCTTATAAGATTTTGAACCAGGGCTTTCCAGAATATATAAGAATGGTCCAACCAAGTACAAGTACCGCCGCTGCCACACAGCTTCCCTATTTCCCATGCCCTGCAAGATAAAAGTTCAGGAAAGAAAATATTACAAACTATATTTGGTCATTAGCTTGCCACAGAGATATGTCACCAAAGAGAAACGAGGATGGAACGTATGGGGTCGTTTATGACCTTCCGGATCAGAAGAGACAACCAGCCTTCAAAGTCTGCTTGATTCCAGGGGTGAACATGATCCGAACTTTCAATCTCTTGCTGAAAAATCTTGCCTACTTGCATTAATCTATGGTAACGAGCCGGAGAAAAGTGAAACACTAAAGAGGGCATCCTCAGAGAAACTCTAAGTGAAGGATATGATGGATTCTCCAAGCGAATCTGAAATTGGCCAAAGAAATAAATGATCACCGAGTTTTGTCAGTTATCCTATCATATGTGCCTTCAACTCTAAAGAAGAATGTCTGCCACTTACCTGTTGTAGCCTTAAGCTAACACCACACTTATCAATAACAGGCAAGCAAGTAACAGCTGTAGAAGGAGCTGACCCAGCAGATATATCTGTAGTGTTTTGGCCCCAACGGTAGTCACCATCCACCAAAAAGGCAGAAACGTCACTCAAGACCAAATCAAACTGCAAATACATATCAAGATCCTTGGGGTAGTTCCTTGCATATTCATCCTGCATAAATACCGCACATGACATATTAAGTTTAGCCAACCATTACAATAATTCAATCATGGTTGGCGAACTAACCTGCGAGCGGATAACTAAGTTTCCCAAGTCGAGCAATAGCTTTGTAGAATTGTTGCCATCAGGTCGGAATTCCGTGGGAATGGTTATCTTTGGAGCAGCTATATCCAGGTCCAACAAAAACCTGTGGGCAGCAATGTTTGCTTGTATGACTCAGCATGTTAGAAGATAGAAAATCACATAGTAGTTTCACTGCATATGAGACATGCGTTCACTTAACAAATAGTTTGTTTGTTTGGTTGTATTTGATAGAGTGATCTTTGCAATTCGCATATATACTATGTTTTGTTGACAAATCTAATGATCTACTAGAAAATGCATAGGGAAGAAGAGCACACATCATAAGGCGCTTGCTACAAATCCAGGACATAAAAGGGAAGAGACAAAATCACAGGTAATATCTACAAAACACCCTAAGATAGTACGCAAGTCAATGTACAACTCTCATTAGTCAACATGACAGCGCCAAGAATATTTATCAGAAAACAGAAATGCAGAATACCGAACCTTGTATGATCCTTCAATGCTCTGTTCACTTGTTGCTGTGCAGTGCGCTTTACTTCATCAATGGTCATCTAATTAGAAGTGTAAGAAATTAATAAAAATACCAACTTCCTTCCATTTTCAGGTTTTGAACATAGGAAACCGCAGTCATGCAACCAAAACTATACCTTGATGGTAGAAGATTCAGTGATTACCCCTAATAGATTTACCCATATTGGCACACCAACAGATTAAATAATGCCTACAACCAATCGGTGCCACCGCAGCTATGTAATGCATGCTTTATCGCATTTCTAAAGAGCATATCTGTTTTCGCAGATTTTTGCCACCCTATTCTCCTAGTTCTAAGACTGAGTTAACCAAATACCACAAAGTTTTACTAAGCTCCTTGCCAGAACTAACAACTGATATTTTGACAATCATGGAAGCAATACTCACTTAACCCATTTCTTAAAGCAACACACCTAAGCAAATATTCGAAGTGCAACTTTGAACTAAAAGCTGCTAGCTCACAGAGAATAGAGTTGTTGGCACAATTGCAGAGCTAGGTACTCCTCAAACATAAAAATAAACCCAGTACTACAGGCACCATTTAATGCAAATATAATGCAACCCATTGGAAGTTCTAAGCACAATGATACCAGATAGATTAATCTTCCTCCATGGGCATTTCAATATCCATAACAACTAACAGAATTAAATAACCATATTACTTTTGAACTTACATTTATATATGTTGCATCCAAAAGAAAACCACAAAACTCATTTTACTTCATAAGATGTTGACTGATCTATGAATAATGTACAAGGAATTCCGTTCTATACATGCATTGGTGAAGAAATATGGACCTCTAGATAATCAAGTTCTTTTAAAACCAAACCAAAATGTCTACTAAATTAATTCAGGAAACTAACATAGTGAAGCAGTGACGTGAGTACTTAAAGGTAAAGCAACCACAACCTCCAGGTTTGGAAAACAGCTAACACAGTTATACCTGCACTGCCGCAGCTGTTTCTAATGCAACAGTGTGGCTGACAGCATCATTGCTTTCAAAGAAATGTATGATCTCTTCAATTGAATCCTTCAGGTACTGGTCAAGGAAGACGATCATTAAACCAGCATGGGTGAGAAAGAAATTGTCTTAGAGAAGTGAATAAGGGCCAGCATACAGTCATGTAACAAGGAGAAGCCTTCACAGTCATGCTCCAGTCCACCTTCGCATCAAAAGGCTTGTAGCGGAAGATGCCAACTAAAGAGTCAAAAGAAGTTGCACTCTGCAGGCAAAAGAGATGAGAAAAGTCATTACCTGAAAGGAAAAATTTGACAAAAGCAAACATTAAAACAACACAAGATCCAAACAAACCTCGGCAATGCGACCATCGGGAGATGATAACTGATATGATCCAAGCTTCAAGTTGAACACTTTCGTCTCTTGGTAAAGGTCGATAGTGCAGCTGAGGCCATCACAAGATAATTCAGCAAGTAGCTCCTGAGCCCTATCAACAAGCTTAGTAGCATTACGGTTCATGTGAACCTCCAATGAAGTATCAAGGCGGTCAGCATTCTCCTTAGCTACAGGTGACTGTCCATCCTCTCTCTCCTTAAAACCTATCAGTTTATTTAATTGCTCCCAGTCCTCATCCGTGAAATGAAATTGATCATCTTCATCCTTGGACGACTGACCGCCCCTGAATTATTTTTTGGGATCATATTTTAGCTCAAAAGTAGGCAGAGAAGAATTGTGCACAGGTTTTGAGAGGTATCCACATATTCAGGTTTTGAGAGATTCACATATTTCAAGTAACATTTACCATCCAAAAGACCACCATGTTCCAGCCTTTTGCTTTGGTGTATGGGCATCAAATTCCATAGACTGCTCTAGAAACTTGTGAGCTAGCATCCTGTCCAAAGTTAGAACACAATGAGATTTACTTGGCAGTTTGCACATTGGAATCGCCCACTCGAGAAAATGGAAAGATAAAAAATAAAAATAAAAAATAGGCAGAGAACCCATGTAACAGCAACTGTCTACAGAACAGATGAATAAAATAATAATAAAAATCAACTCAGTGAGTCGCTTCTAGACACAGTTCAAGCTTAACTTAAAACTTCTATTCATCAAGGAAAATGAGCAAAGCAGTAACAAACTATACATGAATAGCATCTAAAAGACTAATGTCAGAGAAACCAGATATCGCCTTGGGCATATTTTAGTTCCACTACAAAGGCATGCCTTCGTGGAGAATAAATAATAGTGTCATGCAAAGCCATCGGATCTATAATCTCTATAAGAAATAATCATAAAGCGACTAAGAAATTCCTCCTAAGAAAAACATCACCCACCAAAAAAAGAAAGTGGAAGGCAAAGAACTTAAATGAAATAACGTTTAATAACAATTAGCAATAACTTCCAGATTGAACTCTAACTAATCCAGGAGGTTCTCCTTCTTTTCCCAGTCTTTCTTTAGGAATGAAACATTCGTGCTCCAAAAAATCACCAACATGATCAACAATACCTCCATTGCACTATGAGATCAATATCAAGTCCCCGATCCAGATCTACAATCTCTTTGTTATCATCAACTATTGCCCGGCTGACATCGGATTTCAGAAGAGAAGCATAAAGAGAGACATATCTCTTACGCAAACTTGCATATCTTACTACCTGCTCCCATGATAATTTCCCACTGCCAGGAAGCACATGTCCATGCAAAAAATGGTGTTAGAGAAGCGATCCCTTACTATGATAAAAACAAGTCATCTGATTCAGATATCTATAATTTCACAGTACCTAGCCTTCTTAATCTGGTCAGAAACAGCTTTGCAGGCGTACTTCCACCAAGCCCTCGGAGCAGATTTGACAGACACAAGTGGGCGAAAATGAGCATATTTTAGCCTTTGATTGAAGGCAGCAAAATTGTCCGCTAATTTTAACATATCTCTGTATCCATCCTGCAAACACCAGAATATGGGCCATCTCAACTCCACCTCCTGAGGATATGGAGAGATGGATAAAAGAAACTAAAACATTAAACCCAACCTTCGATAAGCAGAGTGTCACATCGTCCAAGTTTACAACAGCTTTCTGCAGAGGACTGCTACTATCAACACGTTTGTCCTTCTGCAATTTGGTGTACTTTCCATTGCCAGTTACTGGTTGTAGAATGTATGAATGCTTTTTCCTAGTTTGATCTGCTGGTTTTCCGTCCTTTGTTCCAAACCTGAAAATCTAAAAGCAAACAAATGAACGTGATGTCAGTAAATAAATACCAAATCAAAGAAGGACAAAATATAGCTAGCAGACCGAACATATACACAAGTTCCTAAGGAGGCACATCAGAGAAAAAAAATACCTGAACCCACTCCAAAGGAAGCAAGTCCTCCCAAGACTTATCAACATGCCATGGTATTATATCCGAGTCAAAATAAACAGCAAGCTCGCCAAGTTCCACAGACTGTACCACAGAGGAACAGCAATATCAGTTGATGAATACAGCCTAAAGAAGAACCATTTTGATCTAGCGATAAACACCAACACTTTAATACACATAGCAAGGAACCTTTTGGATGCGGTCTAGTGCACCACCAGTGGCAAACGTCTCCGTCCCATTATCATTAACTGTCACTGCTGAAAGTTTCTCCAAGGTTATGCCGGCTGCAAACGGATGGCCAGGGTTGCTATACAATAGAAGAAAGGTCAGAAAGGAAGTGAATGGACATTAAATCAAGAAGGGTTCAGATATAAGTGTGTACCTCTCAGGATCCTCGTATCTAATATGGATGTTTGAAATTGAAAGCTTCAAGTTCCCGATTATTGTATTGATCAATGACCCCAACCAGGATTTGTTCTTCAAAATTAGATAATACATACAGTTCAAGCAGGGTTAAGGCTATGACCAGGAGAAGAATATAAAAGGTCGCAGACTAAAAAGATTCCGCAATTAATCATACAGAAATGCAGATGCAGATTGATTAAAAGGAGTTACTTAACCCATAAAGAAACAACATAATCGCACAAGTTTTTTGCCACATTAGTTACCATGTTATTAGAAGATAGTCAATATACTTAAGATGCTTACCACGCCATCTCCAGATCAGGAAAACATAATCCAGGATATGTTGACAAATGTAAATACAAAACTTCATACTACTAACACAAAGAATTATGAAGTCACAATTAGAATCCTACAATTGTAGGTGAAAGCAATTTAACTATAAAGTAGTAAGTACTATCAATAGTTGATAATATAAGTCTCAAAAGCATAGAAAAATAACGCCACACCAAACCTCGATGGTGTGGCCAAAGGTAATGCAAGGATGAAACATCTAACATCACCTATGACAGTAAATAACTGCATATGATTCCACGGCCTAGAAGGTCAATGGCACAATGCAGAAGAGTTTTTCAACTAGAACCATACATAAAGACACACAAAAACAGAAAGTTAGCTTGCTTTCACCCTTTAACTGTCACTAACTTTGGCTAAGAACTGTCATACCATTTCCAGCTTCGCCTCCTGTGACTTCTCCAAAAGCTTCCTCTCAATCTCCTATTCAACAGAAAAGGGAGTTAGTCATCTTCACAGCCTCAAAATGGTCCAAACGCACGTATAATCACATCATGTCTTACCCGCACTCGACTTTTCTTGGCTTCCTGAACTGCATCCTCACTTTGTCCCTCAACTTGGGTGGCAGGCTCAGCCAACAAAAAGATCCGATCCAGACTAACCAGCACTGGATCTTGACCAAGCCTGCTCCATGGAACCTGAAATTTGAATATGTCGTATTACTTTCATGCAAGAGCACATAGACGAAATATCCATATGTGACAGGCATGCTCCACATGGAGCATGATTTAAAATCATCAAATCACAGAAAATGCCATATCACATATGTCTTTAACAAGGAACCAACAATATAAAAAAAGCAAGCATGGTAGAAGCCACTTGCTCTACATATTCAACGGTTATCTATAGGCTGAAAACAAGTTCCCAAATCCGATGGAATTTTCATGCCACGAGAAAAAATGGACCTGAGCGAAGGAATTGACAGGAGGATGAGAGCAAACAACCATACATGCAGAAAAAGTAGCACTGAATTTAGCCCACAAGCTCAAGAGAAATAGATTGTACCTTTAGTTTCACTGATCCAAGAAATCCTGCTTTGACCTTCACCGGCAACTTCAATGCATTTAGTGCCTCTGGCTTGAGTTGCATATTAGTTAGCTCCACATCACCTGCAGTACATTTCAATGGTAACACCTAAGCCCAAACTAGAGCGACCCCAAATAGTAGTAGTACATAAATCAACAAACATATGATCTCAAAATGGCATTCATCATAGATTGCCAATACTGGTAAGGAGCTTCATTGCTCCAGTAACCACCGCCAGGCGCCAGCTATTCTAAACTGAAAATCCTTTTCAGTATCAAATTACAGTAAACTTATGTTCAGTGCATCAAGTCCAGTAGATGTCCAATTGTTCTAAACCAAAGCTTTATTTAACATGTGATCTCGAATAAATCCATGGTTCACAGCCACAAACAACTGTATCATTCCGAAATGTACGCGTTCTCCGAACTCATGAAATCAAACCCTAGGATCCAAAAAATCACTCCTAACTCAAATGGCACCTATCACGAGCATTCCCACTGAATGAGAACGCATTACTCAATTTCTACAGCTATCTTCATCAGTGAAAGTGATGAACCAAAAAACAAGAAAATTGCGATCACTAGTTCAAACTAACAGGAAACCATTCACAACTTCCAATTAAGGAAGTTGCGCGGACAGAAAATGGCAAAGGCAAATCAAAAAAACAATCAAACAGTTAAGCAAGAGAGGGCAAGGGAAGCAGTATACCTCGCCAGACACTGATCTTGAGAGCCTCTTTACTGAGACCTCTCACGTAATTCCCCAGGAACTTCTGGAGCAGGAACGCGACCTGATCCTCCAGCATCTTGACCAGGAACTGCGAACTGTTTGATCAACGAGTTCGCGGCAGTGAACTCCGAGTATCGTTGATGAGTGAAGAAGAAGAATCCGACAGAGGAAGAAGAAGGTTCAGTGGAAATTTCATTTGCTGGGGAGGAGGGTTTATCGGTGGTTCTCGAGAGCGGTGCAGAGCGTAGAAGGCACGTTCGGTTTTGCGCTTGAACTATAAACTTCTCGACGTCGGCAGAGAAAGAGACAGGAGTGAGAAGAAGAAGGGCATTCTGGACATGTTTTGCCTTGATTCGGAGAGAACAGATTTTTTTTTTTTTTTTTTGATTAAATGGAGGCTAAACAAAACAGCCGAGAGAGCTTTCGGAGAGAACAGATAAATATCCTCTTTGCCTTTCTGGAGTAGTCAGGGGAGGTGTCAGTAAATGAATGAAAATTGAGGGGCCCAAACGTGAGCTAAAAAGTCCGGAATAACTTATGAATGCCAATAATTTTTATTTTTTGGGAATTAGAAGAAATGTAACAGTGTTTTCCCGATCCACATATTGTCACAGATTCTCACAAATTTAGCTTTTTTTTATACTTTGATCAAAATTTCATTAAGAACAGGCAACCAATAGCATAAACACTATGGCGCTCCTCGGAACAAACAGTTTGTACAATATATCAGTCAAGCAAAAGAAGAACTACCCCAAACCCCTAGCAATGAAGCAGTCCAATAAGCTCTGATCAAGCATACATCTATACTCAATAACCCATTTTGCTTGCGCAACCAGCTGTGATGGTGAACGAGCACTATTTGATCCATACATTCTAGAGCATCGCTCCCTCCAAATCAAACTTAGAACAACACTCCATGATAGACGATTAAGACGTGCAGAGGCGGAGATTCCACACCAGTGCAGGACTTCTGGCCAGTCAACTAAAGATGGCGGCGCAGCTGTCTTCAAAACCTGCTCAAGCATATATCTCGCAAATGCACACTCCACAAAGAGGTGATGGCGAGTCTCCATCCCACCAGGGCACATCAAGCACAAGCCCGAGAGAGGCTTCCCCCAGGAAAGAAGTCGATCCTGCAACTTCAACCTATCCTGGATGATTAACCAAAGAACGAATCCATGACGAGGGATAACGACATTGTCCCAAACCAAATCCTTCCAAGGCACAACACTACTCTTCTGGCGAAGCGATTGCCAGACCCTACTGACAGAGTATGACTCCATGATCTCACCATCCCATGCCAAGCTCCCCTGTAACAAGGAGATAAAAGGCCTAGCCATATCTCGACACTTTAGAATTCTCCTCCATATCCAGGAAGACGCAGAAGAAGACTTAAGGTCCCAGACTGAATTGTTCTTGACACGATAGCGATGAATCCAGGCTACCCAAAGGGATCCCTGCTCAGCAAGGACTGCCCAAAAATGTCTAAGCACACAAGCTTTATTCCAGATTGCAAACCCACGAATCCCTAAGCCCCCCTCCTTCTTAGGCCGAGCAAGGAACTCCAAGGAAACAACAGCCCTCGTCCTCATTGATGATTCATTTATATCCCATAAATACTTACTGCAAATGGATTCAACTTCCTTAATGACAAACTGAGGGAGAAGAAAAATTCACATCCAATACTGCAAAACACTAGTCAGAACAGATGTGATAAGCTGTAACCTCCCAGCAAAGCTCAAAGTTCTTGCCCTCCAGCTTGAAATCTTAGCTGTGATTTTCTCTACCAAAACACGACAGTCTGCTCGAGATAGTCTACCAGTAATAAGAGGAACTCCCAAATACCTGACATGCAAGATACCAAGGGGAAACTTCGAATATGATGAAATATTTGTTGTTCAGACTCTGATATTCCCCCACAAAACAATTGACATCTATCCGGATTGCATTTAAGGCCAAAAACTTTATAAAAATCATCTAGTACCCGACAAACCCCTACCACCCCTCTTATAGAACCATTCGTGAAAACCAATAAATCATCAGCAAAACACAGGTGTGTAATTGCCAACGGTTTACATCTAGGATGGGGGGATTTGGTTCTGCCTAACTGCTAATTTCAACATGGCATCCAACACTTCCATGGCAATAGTAAACAAATATGGAGACAGGGGGTCTCCTTGCCTCAACCCCTTTTTCATCTCAAAAAATCCACAAACTCCACCATTCATCACTGCACTCACTTTAGGAGTACAGACACAAGCTTTTAACCACTTTATAAAAAGTTCAGGTATTCCCATCTGGCTAAGAACAGAAAATAATAAGTTCCAGTCCACGGAGTCAAACGCTTTCATAATATCAATTTTCACAGCACACCGAGGGGAAATTCTATTCCTATGATAGTCTTTTACTAACTCTGATGCCAATAGGATATTATCACTAATGGATCTACCTCTAATAAAAGCAAACTGAGATGTAGAGATAAGATATGGCAGGACAGAAGCTAACATGTTTGCCAAAACCTTCGAGATCCCCTTATATATCGTGTTACAGCAGGAAATAGGGCGGAAATCTTTCATCCTTTCAGCATTTGGGATCTTTGCCACTAGTGTAAAGAGGGTGGAATTCAGAGCCTGTGGCATAATGCCAGAAGAAAAGAAATCCAACGCAACTTCTTCAACTAAGTTGCCAACCAAATCCCAGTGCAGTTTAAAGAACTCGGCAGGAAATCCATCAGGGCCTGGAGCCTTATCTCGCCCAAGACTCTTAAACACCTGTCGAACTTCTTCTCTGGATATTGGAGTTATTAATGACCTAGCTTCCTCCTGATTAAGAGACTTAATAGCCAATGCCTCATAGAAGCTAGATGGATGAGTAAACACTGTAGGATCAACCTCCCCAATAAGCTTTTTATAGAAATCAATTGCAACCTGCCCCAATTGCTTAATGTCAGTCACCTCCTGTCCTTGAGCATTTAACAGGCGATCTGCTGGCGGTGAGAGTGAATCTTCACAGAACTGTGGAAGATTTCAGTATTCATATCACCTTCCTACACTCCCCTGGTGCGAGCTTTTTGCTTGTAAAAGCTCTCTTCAGCTTTTTGTAAATCATGACACTCAACAGAAAGCTCCTTCTCTTCCCCCACCAGAGCAGCCTCAGGATTGACCAGTATAGACAACTGTACAGCCTCTAGCCTACTCTCACTAGCACGAGTCTGAACAGATATATCAGCATAGACTTCCTTATTCAGTTTAGTAAGAGCTTGATGAACCCTCTGCAGCTTACCATAGAATACAAAATATGGCCAGCCAGTCACCTTATGCCTCCAAGCATCAGATACTAACTCATTATAACCAGGATGACTAGTCCAAAACTTGAAATATTTAAATGGTTTGGGAAAGCTCTTCACCTGGGGAATTACTGTCAGCAATATTCCACTGTGATCCGAGACCCCTGGTGGAGTAGTAATAGCAGAACTAGGTTTAAAAACAAACAACCAAGCTTGATTAACAAGAATTCTATCCAATCTTTTTGCAATGGGATTCTCCTCCTGCTTGTTCTACCAAGTAAACTAGGTCCCCATAACCTTGTGATCAATCACATTCATATTAGCAATCCAGGACTCAAAGGAAATCATACTCAAGTTCATAACCACGAGATTAGAAGTCTCCCCCGGGTCAATAACAGCATTAAAATCACCCATAATGACCATAGGAGAATTAACCTCTTGCTGAAGTAAGAGCTCCTCATACAACACAGCCATATCAGCTTCTTTGTTTGGACTGTAAACCACTAAAAGGAAAAAAGGATGAGGTCCTCCAACTCTGACCATAATGAAATGCTGCCCACCATCAACCTTAACCACATCCAGAACATCTTTCTAGAGCAACCAGACACGCCCATTAGTAGACTTAGGGTAGTTATTCAAATGCTTAAACTGACTAAACTTCTTGGAAAGAATATCAGAACTATTAGAGGCAATAACTCTAGTTTCTATTAGTGCTACTATATCTAACTTCAAATACCAAAACTTCTTAAGCACAGCAGTGTGCTTGTCAGGGGCATTAACCCCCCTGATGTTCCAACATAATACCTTCATTTACCCCGCTTCTTCCCCCTACCCTTACCCCGAGCAGGAGCAACAGGTGGAGGTTCCACAGGACGCTTCAAAACAGGTCGACTTAGCGAAGGGAATGCCTGATCATCAAGTGGACTTTTACCCGACCCAGCAGACAAACTCCATGGACTTCTAGATACAGATCCCGGGACATGAGCTCTCACTCTATTCTTCCTGTGCGTAACCACTTGAAATCCATCATCAACTGCAGAGGGCCCTGCACCCCTATCCTGCACTGGATCAGGAGAAGTAATAGAACTATCAACCATCATATTCGCCCCAGCGACCATTTCATGAGTTACTTCCCTTTGTGGATCTTCCATCACACCCTTCCCCTTATCCTTTAACCCAACAGGATCAAGTTCCTTTACTCTAGGCTGTTTCACAACCCAGACCTTCTTCGTCTTCCCTCCAGGATTAGAGCTGTCATGTCCAAATACTTGACACTTCTCACATTTGCTTGGGACGTGACAGTACTCTACATCAACAAACATCTCTGGACAATCATCAGGAGTAATGCTCAACTTATTCACCAAGTTAGATTTTACTGAAATTTCAACACACAGCTTCGCAACCCCCAACCGCGTCCCTTGCTTCGTAGGGAAATCCATACAAAGAGGACGACCCAGAGAACTAGCAATCCGCCCAAATCCTTCCTTTGATGCCATCTCAGACGGTAAGTTCGATAGCCTAACCCAAACCAGAACTATCGAATTATCAATGGCAAGAGGTTGAATACCTGGTTCCCCATTTACGCAGAAACAACATATTCTCACGATGATGCCACGGTCCTCCTTCAAAAACCCAACGACAAACTTCCGCAGTCGGGAACTGAAAAAGTCACTCATCATTGCAGTGCTCCACGCTGAGCACGTATAACTTTAAAGTTCTCACAAGAACTCTTCCTGAGAACTACTCTATTTCACCCCAAAACGTGTCTTGTCGGTTAAGGTCGGTTTCTTACTTATGAACCATACATCTATTCCGTGATTTGTCGATATGAGACTTGTCTAACGTGTTACAGGAAATCAATTATTCCAAAGCCTACAAATATTGTGTCTTATTACTCTTATGATGTGACCATATAAGGGATGGTATGATTCTTAATTTCTTATCATGAGTGGTAAGATTCGAATTTTTTAAGTTTTGTAACTTCTTTATTTTGTACCATAACTCATGTCATTTGATATTCTATTCAAAATTATACACTAGCTTATACATTGTCATTTGGACACGTGATAATTTATTTTAGAATGTAATTTATTAGTACATATGATAATATTTCTCAATAATCTATTAATTTATAGTAGAATGTCACAGCCACTTCCCAATAATGTATATGCACTTTCAAAAATATGCATTATGTCCTACCAAAAAAATATGTATTATATCATTGTCCAAATTGATATATTTTTATTCATTTAAAACTATAATATTTGTATAATAGAAACACTAAGATGTATACAAAAAAGTATGTATTATATCATTGTCCAAATTGATATATTTTTATTCATTTAAATCTATAATATTTATATTATAGAAACACTAAGATGTATATTGTAGATGTTTTGCTACCAATGTATCTAAATCCCTAGTGAAAATTGTATATATTATGCCAAAAATGCCTTCAAATGTTTTTTTTATGGGAAGGCTAATCAATACAACCACACACATCTTCCAAAGCTAGGGATGGCAATGGCCCCGCGGCCTTGGACATCCATCGGGCCCCGCCTACGAGAACTGGGTTGAAACCCATGAGAATGGGATGTTCGGCAGTCATGGGCATACCCACGACCCGCGGGGGGGGGGGGGGGGGGGGGGGGGGTGCAATGATGGGTTGGGGACTGATTTAGTGATCCCCACCCCGTACTTGCACCGATAGAAAAACGAATTTTGTCATGCATATATAAACCTCAATTTTAGGTTTATGGTCTTCATAAGCCATTTTCATCAAACCCCACTGTTTTCTCACCTTATTTCCTCTCAACCTTAATACGGTGAACCGCCAATTTCTCCCTAAATCCCTATGATTCCAACGATTTTCCTCATTTCTCTAATGATTTTCCTCGTAAATCGACGATCTTGTTACCAATAATCCTATATCTAACCCTTAATCAAGCCCCCAGTCATCTAAAATGTATCAATCGACGGAAATCTTCTTCGAATCGTGCATGCAGACGATTTTTTCCCAGATCGAGATAAGTGTTCAATTCTTTCTTTCCTTAATCCAGTTTTACTTATACGTGTATAAATAGGTGACTTACTTCATCGTTTTGTTCATATGCAGTTCATCAACCCCTAAATCCAAAAAACCTACCCTTCCAGATTTCGGAATCCCCATGTCCGTCATTCTCACTTTCTCAGTAAGTTAAGTCTACAGTAGTTCGTTTAATTATTTGTTCTTATTGCTGGTGCTTGCTTAGTTTTTTAGAATCAGAAATGCTAATAACTTAATTTTTCGGTAATATACACTTGTATAGCCAAAACTTATGCGCTTGTGCCAACAATAGCCAAATTTGAAAAAATACCACTTAAGCCACATCTTTTGAACTTATATGACAAATATAGCCATTTCTGTCAAATACTTTAACACCGTCTCTAAAGTTCACCTAGACTAGGTGAACACCGACTCTGTCAAATATAGCTTATTTGGCTGACACCTGGACGACACGTCATGTTCACCTAGACTCACATGTCAGGTAATTGCCACGTCATATTTTAAATTTTCTTTAAAAATAATTTTGTAGAGTTAGAAGACTCTCCTCCTCCCGTCTCTCTCATCTAACCACCTTCTACCCCCAACAAAAAATCCCTAATCCAATCCAAAGAACCCCTAATTTGATTCTGCAACCATCTTCCTCTCTCCAACAACAAAACCCCAAATTAAATCAACAGAAAACCCCAAAAGAAACCATCCCAATTCCAAAACAAAAAACAAAACCCAAAGTACATCTTCTTCTTCCCAGATTTCCCCATTGGAGCTACTACTGGTGCACGACCCAAAAGGTAGAGCTCGGGATTTTGGGAGACGAATCTATGCCAAAAGAAGTAGTAGAAGTCGTCGCCGTCGGAGTCCAAGCATCCATGACGATTCCTCTTCTGGCGAGCAGAATCGGCTGCTCTCGAAGTCCTCTGCTTCCTCTCCGTCCTTGACGACCACCACAAGCTCGGTTGGCCGGCGGCACCGCCTCTTCCCACTGATAGTTCTGGAATGACGCTTTGAATCTCGATGCTCCGATTGAGGGGTTCATTTGAATCGGAGGATCCGAGTCCGCAATCCCATGCAAATTCCAAAAATAGACGAGAACCCAGGTCGGGAAATTTCACTACAGGGAGTGGGTAGGAGAGGAAATTACGTTAAAAATTGAAAATTCGAGTACTTTTAGGTGTGGTGGGGGTGAAGAAGAATTGCCATTAGAGAAGGAACAAGAGAGCTCAACTCGTGGGTGTGGTGGGGGTGTGTATGCAAGTGCAAAGACAAGAGGGATTTAGAGAGATGGGAAGGGGATTTTCAGATGCCGGCCGGTGGAGTTTGAGAGGCAGAGAGAGGAGAGAGATCGGAAACAGTGAGATATGTGGGAAGGAGATTTTTTAGGGATTTTTTTTATTTTCTTTTTCCTTTTTTTGTATTTTTAAGTTAAATCCACGTGGCAATGTTATTGACGAAATGTTGCCAGGTCAGCGTTTCTGTTAGTACAGTCAGCTTGCCAGATGACACCGTTAAAGAATTCGACGGAAGTGGCTATAAGTGGTATTTCTCCAAATTTGGCTATTATTGGCACAAACACAAAAGTTTTGGCTATACAAGTGTATATTGCCTAATTTTTCCTACTCTTTTGTTTTTGCAGCTTGTTGTTTGAGAGTCTCATCAAGGAGCTGGTGCTTAAACCGTAGTCTGCTGAGGTCAGGCGTCGACCCTTGTTTGTTGTTGGTTGTTCGTAGATTTATCATGCTTAACTTAACACAATTTGCTTATGCTTAACTTAACACATCTGATTTGTTAAGTTCGAAACTGCTAAGTTGGAAACTTCTAAACTGCTCACTATTGTAATTAAGTTCAAAATCCAAATCGAGTAATGCTAAATCCAAATCCAGTAAACTTCTCACTGCTAAACTGCTAATTTGTAATTTATAATTTGTAATCTGGAATCTCCTTGGTTTTTTTAATCTCTGACCTCTGACCTCTCATCTCTAACCTTCATATTCTCTTAGTTAATAATAAGAACACAATTGGACTTCTTTCTGAGACGTTTTTGTTATTTCTTCCTCTTAATCAGTTGGAACCTGAACACTTTGAGAATGCACATGTTAATGGTGTTGCCTCTCTCGTTATAATCCTGATAGGGATGGCAATGGGTCGGGTTGGGGCGGGTTTTGTCAAACCCAAAGCCAAACCTATGGATTTGTCCGCAAAAAAAAAAAAACCCGGGGTAAAACCCGTTGGGTTTGAAAAACTCAAACCCAACCCAACCCGTTGGGTATCCGCGGGTTCATGGGTACCCGTGGGTTTTTGTGGTAAAAAAATTTACAATAAAGTTTCTTTCAAAATAAAAGTTTAACATCAATTTTCTCATACAAACTAATCATACAAAAAACACCAATCTAGAGCAGACAAGCAAACCTCAAATGATCAATACAAATTGTTCAAAATTAAAGATAAACATCTATAGACAATAAGATTAATTGAAAGCTTTTTCCTTGTCAACTAAGTTTCTTTACTCTCCACTTCATAATATCAACTTCATTCTAAACAATTAGAAAGAACAAATTATACATGTCTCCACAAACATAAATAATATTAGTTGTTTAAGGAAGATATATTATTTAGAATATTAAATATACCAGGAAAGTAATTACATGTGTGTGGGCGGGTACCCATGGGGCGGGTTTACCTAAACTCAAACCCAACCCGAGCCTGTGAATAGTGTAGCGGGTTTAAACCTGAACCTGGCCCAAAACCCGTCAACACGGGTTTTACCCGCATTGACCGGGTTGGGTCGGGTGGGTACCCGTGGGTTCGGGTTTTGTTGCCATCCCTAAATCCTGATAACCTTTCGGAAGATGTTGTTCCTCAACATCCTTTAGGTGCTAGTAGGTCATTAAATTTTGATGTCCGGCTCACTTCACTAGACTGTTGGGAAATTGGGTATTGAAAGTTAAATGCAACTACTGTAAGAAGGTGTTGGCTGGGAAGTCTAGTAGTGGTACTTCCCATCTTAGGATTCATATGAACAAATGTGTTCATAAGAAAATATGATGGGAGTAAAAAAATCTTTGGTGTTGACTACCGTGCCAAGGGAACACTCGATATGAGTACCAATCAGTTTGGCAGTGAGGTGACTAGAAAGGAGCTCTGCACCATTATCTTGGTGCATGAGTATATCTTTTTATTGTTGATCATTATCTTGGTGCATGAGATTTTCTATGGTACTGTCCAACAACTTAAGCTGGCTGTTTCTAAGATATTAGTGTTTGGTTGTCCCACTCGCTAGAACTCTACCTATGATATGCTTTTTGTTGCTATCCCATATAAGGATGTGTTTCTATACTGAAAATAAGGAAATCTCAATTCAACTCTCTGCTCACTTACGAGCAGTGGGAGTTTGCTGTTATTTTGTGTGACAAATTTGGGGTTTTCAAGGACATAATTGTTGTATTTTCTAGTTCAAACTACCCTACAGCCAATCAGTTTTTTCCTAAAGTTTGTGACTTGAGGTTGCACTTGATGGAATGGTTAGTTGATCCTAATTCAATGATTTTTTCTATGGCTGAGAACATGTGGACTAAGTTTGCAAACTAATGGGATGATATTCATTTGTTGTTGGTTGTTGCTGCTGTGTTGGATCTACGGTACAAATTGGAACTAGTTGAGTACTATGCTACTAAATTTGGTATTGCTAGTACTGATCTTATGATTGAAAAGGACAAATCGGTTGTTGCTGAGCTGGTTGTTAAGTATGAGAGGAAATCATCCAAGAACATTGTTGTTTCTTCTAGTTCTCATCCTTCTTCTTCATATACTAATCTGGATTTTGATCTATATGTAAGCCAAAGAAAGAAAACCAGAACATCTGTGGTAACCACCAAGTTAGATCATTGCCTAGCTGAGGATGTTCATCCTAGAACACAGGATTTCTATTTGATGGCGTGGTGAAAATTCAACAATGCCAAGTATCCCATTTTGCAAGACATTGCAAGGGGTTTATTTGTTGTGGCTGTTACAAGTGTTGCATGTAAATCTGCCTTTAGTTCTGGTGGGAGGCTTTTTGATCTCTGTCGGAGCAGGCTTGATCCCAAAATAGTAGAAGTCATGATGATATTGAGGACCTGGATTCAGGATGATAGCAAAGCTTAGTGTTTTTATACCAATTTTGATTGTTTGCTATGTTTTCCATTTCTTGCTAAGTAAACTTATCAATTAAGTCTTAGTTTTTCTGCCTTGTAGTGTCTGCCTCGAAATTGAAAGCTCTGGATGGGGGTTTCTCAGCTATGGCAATGGATGATGCCACGGTGGAAGAGAGCATAGCTAACTGGTTTCCTTGTATTGCTGTAACTGGTTTATGAATTTAGGTTTATGCTCTTTACTAACCAGATTGCTTCATAACAGATGGAGCTAGAATGCAGTCGGAGCTCAAAGGAGATGAAGATGATGTAGTTGTTGTCATCAACCTTTTGGACTAACTCTAGGTTTGTGTTCTAACTTATAATCTTTCCTTTACGAATATTGCAACATAATCAAGTGGAAAATGTGAATGAATATGTCATATTGCAAATATTATCCCGTAGGCATGAGTTGGCAAATTACTGTTGAATGATAGAATGTTGGACTGATGATGGGTTGTTGGATGCTTTGGTGAAGAATGATTGTTGCTGGTTAGTGATTTCTGGTTATGTTATTGTGTTGATTTACCATTGTTTCATTTGTGATTTTGTTTATGGGTTTGTTAGTTGGGATTGCAGATTATTGCTAGCTGAGGGTTCCTGATTCGGGTCCAATTGTACATATTTTACCCCTCATTTCTTGATAGTTTGGCTTTGCATTTCATCGTCCCCCGACATATTTCACGCTAGGTTGTGCTTGTTTTGATACATTTTGTAACACCCTACCCTGTACATTTTGCCTAATCATATTGTTCATTCAATTGTAGCGGAATTTAAAACTGGTGTTACATAAATTACCAAAATTTACCCAAATAAAATATTGACATGAATTACTCGCGTAATGGGCTAACAGTTCTTGCAACTTATCCCGCAAAATAATTCATATGAATCCCTACATTCTTAGGCATACATATATACTCACAACCATATACATTGGCTTTCATAGCCATAGTCATAGTTTCATACTCCACAACCGCATACTTTACTAATACATGCCATAGTCGTTACAACTTACACAACCACACAAATATACACATATCAACTTTCCACACCTGTGGATATGTAATACTATATCAAAAGCTAATATGCACATGCAAAACATTCTCAAAATATTTTTTACAAAAGAGGTGTGGATCACTGGCCAAAATCCTGAGTAGTCGTCCAAACACAGAATAATTGAAGACCATACATCATCTTGCCTTCAACTCTTGCTCAGCTTCCTGAGAGAAACTTTGAATACCGAGTCACGAGTGTGGAGGAGCAAGAGAATCCTTTTTATGATCTTGCATGGTATCTTGCCCTCCAAACCGTGCTTGAGGACATGGATGGGAAGGAGAAGGAAGAGGTTGAAGAGGAGGAAGTAAGCATTGAGGAAGGGGAAGATCTTGATTATTCCCAAGGGGCGGAACGAATTGAAGAAGGAGGAAGGGAGGTTGAAGATGAAGTTGAAGTAGCAAGTGGTGTCCAAGATGAGGACGAGGTCGGGGTGGATGAAGCATCCACAAGTTACAAGTGCTATGTAAGCTTTCCACCCGACCTCGATGCACTTTTGGAAAAGGACCCATTTGAGACTCTTTGCCAATCCAAGGCCAAACCATCGGAGATCCCTCTTGGTGGATGCGATGGAAGCCAATCGAGTTTGCACTATATGGTATGGGGCAAAGAGAATGAAGAAGAAAGAAAGAAGGAGAGGTCTCGTGGGTGGAGCCTCATGACAACTCAAGTTCACGAGCCTTCAATCATGGATTCATCCAAAGCTCGTGACTTGAGACACCACCTCATCAATGAGAAACTCAACTTCAAGGAGGTTCTTGGGTGGACCGAAACTTGAAGAGCAACCGTCCGGCTCACGGCGTTAAAGAAGCATTTGTTGGGAGGCAATCCAACCACCATCGGTTTGTTTCCTTTTGGCTTCAATAAGTCGACCTTTTGTTTTGCCGCCTTCTTGCTCTTTCGGATCTCACCCACCCTCCGCTCTCGAACACCAACATTCACCACTATCCGGTAACATCGTTCTACCTCCCTCTTTTACGCCATTGAGGGCAATGTCAAGCTTAAGTGTGTGTGTGGGGGGGGGGGGAGTCCATAATGCATGTGTGTTTGAATTTTTTGTGTGATTTTGAATGCTTGGAGCCTAGTTGTATGCCCAAATTTTAAAATTTTAGGGCTCCAAGCATAGCAACTTCTACATTTGCATGACTGTAGTGGCACTTGTGTTGTTTTGTTTTGAATCTCGTGCTTATTAGCATTGTTTATGGATGATTTTCTTGTTATTATGTGCAACCTATGATGATGATTGAGACATGTATTAGGTTTGTGCATATGTTCATTTCTCATATGTTTGTGAACCGATAGATGTTTTGAATCGATCACTTGCTTTTCCCATTTGCCTATGCATCGAGTTTAGGGAGTTAGAACGAATGATTGAGCACCTAGGTAGCCATGTGAGACTTGTGTCGTTCGTTTCGTTCTTGTGTGATAGATCCTCCTTTACATGATGTGTAGCATTCACCTTGTTGCTAGCAAGGAAGATGGAGGCATAGGATTAGCCCACGACCCAAAAGTTGACCGACCCGATCATATTATTCCTTAGTCAAACATTTTGAGCCGTGTGTCTAAGGGTCATTCTCGTGTTAGGTAGCTCATGCTACTTGAGCTTGATTGATTTAGATAGAGCAACCATACTGATGGCCTAAAACACAACACCAATCTGCGACCAAGTGTAATCGCATACGGGGAATGCAGTAAAGTGACAAGTAATAAATATCGAATCCACGAGTCTCTAGAGTTACTATTACTCCACAACTTCTTTCTGCATCCTTTCCAGCTCTTCTTCTTCTATCATAAACTGGAGAGCAAGTCGCCATGTAATTTCTTCAATGAGATCATCTTGCATCTCCTCGCTCGGGCCCAGCATGTTAGAGCAGAAATAAGGAAATGTGTGATCTGCAACCAGTGGACTTTCCTGATCATGATTATCATGGGAGTTCTCTATGATAACTTCTGTATGCTCCTCAACATCCCCGTAGCCTTTGTCATCCTCCACCTCTTCTAGCATGGTAGCAGAAAGGTGATCTTGAGCAAGATGTGAGCAAACTTGCTCCACCCACTCTGTTTGCTTCGCTGAGAGCTGAACAGTCTCCTCCATATCATGGAGAAATGAGGGATCGGAAGCGGCAAGGGCTTTGATTTGAAGATCCATCTTGGAGCATGATCTCTCAGTGTCTCGAGCAAACTGCTCCACAAGAAGCCTTAATTGTTTGTTCGGATATTCCAGTGAAGTGTAGCATGGCTCTGCAGAGTGGCCCGTGAAGGCCGCCATGGGTAACTCCAGCTCCGATGGCCCTTCTGGTTGTGGGAGAAAGTCTTCTTGGTAATGAGGTTGTTCTTGATATGCCCAGGGGTCTGGTTGTTCTCTGTAGAAAGGGGGTTGGTACTGGAACCCGAATCCATAGTCTTCTCCTCCTTGATTGCTGTAGGGAGTCTCGAGGTAATACCACCCGGATGGCGGTGGATACCCCCACTGGTTGGAGAAGCCATGAGGATCCATGATTCAGATCTGCACCAACAAAAACAAAAACACCCAAGTGAAAAGCAAGGGTGGAAAAGAAAATAAAAACGCTAAAGTAACAAACTTCTGCCTTTCCTAATACTCTAGAAATTCCCCGGCAACGGCGCCAAAAACTTGATGGCCTAAAACACAACACCAATCTGCGACCAAGTGTAATCGCAGACCGGGAATGCAGTAAAGTGACAAGTAATAAATATCGAATCCACGGGTCTCTAGAGTTACTATTACTCAGCTTCAGTTCATTATCTAGCAAACTAGATTAAGGATTGATTATCTAAACTACTCTACTAACTAAACTAAGTAAAACTACTAATTACAGTTTGGAAACTCACTTAGGTATGATTCCCCCTAGCTCCTCAATTAGGTCCAAGTTGTAATTCCTTTTGGTTGTTTTACTGTTGATTAAACTGCGGAAGATCCGACAGTAGCTTGGAATCTCTTAAGCTGACCAAGCCCTCTCAGTCTAACTCCCCGGCAGACGACTAGTCTTCACCGGGATAGAAAGTTGAAGCAGTAAGAACAGAACTCCACTACTGGAATTGGATTCCAGTACAAAGCAGTAAACTGGCTAACTCTCGTATAGCCAATCTCCTACTACCGAATGATGAGACTCTAGCAACCTAATCAGATTCTATTTATCTCATACTGCAGCAGGAATCAGGAAAAGTTGATCAGACTTCAATTGACTCAATAAACATGCATCATTCGATTAAAATCAAACAATATAGCATCCAAAACTTCATACAAGAAAGATCCTAACTCATGGAACTAGGGTTCCTCAAAACCTAAGTGAAGGGAAGTTACTCCATAGAGAAGAGAGAAACTGCAGAAATCTGATCTAGATCTTCAATCTCCATCTCCAAAAGCTTGATTCCCGAGCTCCAATGGCGAAGAAATCCTCCAAAATAGCTCCAAGAATGTTCCCAAGTCGCTCTCTCTCTCTAGGGTTCGTCCCTTGGGTGTTTGGGAACCAAAAACCCAGCTCTCCCCTTTCCTTTGGCTGAAAATCGAGTTTTAAACAGAAATTCTCGATCACGCGGCCAGGCCACACGGCCGTGTGGCTTTCCCAGCTGCCCGTGTGAAGGCTCGGTGATTTCCACACGGCCACATGGCCAGTTCACACGACCGTGTGGGTCTTGCCCGTGTGGCTTGCTCAGCCTCTATTTAATGCTTCGTTTCCCCCTCATCCGGACTCCGAATCAGTCGCCGTTTGATCCCAGACGCTCGTAGTCTCGTCCTCTATCTTTTAATGACAAAACTACATGATTATTTGTCAATAATATGAGGTAGAAGTCCATTATTCCTCAGGTCATGCTCGTGTTTCTTCTCCCGAATCGCCGAATGATCTCCGATTGACTTCAAACTTGCGCCTATGCTTCAATTTACATGCTAGGACCTGAAATGTGACAAAGGAACACAAACTAGCATAAAATAGGCCAAAGAAGCGATAATACAAACTTAAACGATCAAGAAACAAAGGGGAAAACATGTGCAAATATTGAGTCATCAAATTCCCCCACACTTAACCGTTTGCTTGTCCCCAAGCAAACCTAACTCAAACCAATGCAGCTCTCCAGACCTCTATAGCAACAAACAACCCCGATCGTTGGTAGAGGATTTTCTAGATCATATAGCAGCTTACGAGGTCAACTGGTCTTCTAAGACGTTCCCTATCTCTCTCAATCCGAGTACTAGACTCAAGCCAGGATCATGAGAAGAAGTGGAAGTAAGACTGTCAGTTCATAGACAAAGGGACTCACACCATTCACAACCAAGGACTCGTTGTACCGGGGTGATCTTTCACTTTATTTCACCGTTGGAACCCCTTTTCGCACTTCCATTTACATTTCTTTTTCTTTTTTTTTCTTCATTCACTTGACGGGGGTTCCAACTGCAGTCTTTTGCACAGTCGACCCTTATTAGTCGAGCAAGAGCAATTTTTGTACATCTAGCGCTCGCCAGAGTACTTCTTTTAACTCCTTTTCCTCAACTCGTGTGGAGGGTCAATGAAATCAAGGGGGGTCGGAAGCTCTATCCGTGCCCTTAAAAACACATCCTCAAGTAGGCAAACCGTTCAACGGGTGAAAATTTTACTTGTACTAGAGACAGCTTAGCTTCACCTTGTAGGAGTACCCCACTAAGGATAAATCTCTTCCAAAACCCGAATTTGTGCAATGAACGGTGCCACACACGTTGGGCTTACCCCATGTTTAAGATTTCAATGATTTCGACATGGAGGACCAACTGCTTCCCATTTTCCATATGAGCACCCTGTTCGATACACGAGTCCATAACACAATCCAAACAGAGTCACCATTACCACATGAATTCAACGGTCCTAGCTCCACTAATTCACAAAATCAACTGGCACAACAGAGAGCTACATAAGAAAAATCTTATACTTCAACATCCTCCATAGTGCTACACTACCTCCCTAGGTTGCACATTACTATAGAGAAGTCGATTCAAAGCATACTGAGCAGGCAATTTGCAAGGAAACACGTACTTGGAGCCCTCAAATTTAAAAATTTGGACAGTGGACTAGGCTCTAAGCACACAAACAGCCAAACATTCACCCGCATATATAATCGAACACCCCCCACACTTAAGCACGACATTGTCCTCAATGGAGGAAAGATAAGGAGGGTAGAACGAAGTTACCAGATCAAGGGTGAATGATGATGGACGGGTCAGGCGGTGCATTCCAGGAAGAGAGAGTAATCAGAACGCAAACACCACACAAATCTCACAAAGGTTGAGTTATTGACTCTAAAATCAAATAACAAAACTGACTCAACCGAGGAGAAATAGAGAAAGAAATGCAAACCGACTGGTTGGGTTGCCTCCCAACAAGCGCTTCTTTCACGTCGTGAGCCAGACGATGGCTCCTAAGTTTCGGTCCATGCTAGAACCTCCTTGAAGTTGAGGTTCTCATCAATGAGGTGGAGTCGCAAGTCACGAGCATGTGGTATGACTGGTGATGGAAGCTCGTGCACTTGATGCAGATGAAGTCTCCACCCTCGAGACCTCTTCTTCTCTTCTCTCGTCTCATTGCCCCAAACCAGATATGACAACATCGATTGGCCACCATCACGGCCACCAAGAGGGACCGATGTTGATGTGGCCTTGGTCTGGCAAAGAGACACTGCAAATGGGTCGTTGCTAAGCAGTTCCTCGAAGTTTGGTGGAGATATCACATGTAACTCATGGCCGGTGCAAGCCTCTTCCACCTTAACTCCGTCCTTAGCATGGACGCCAATTGCTTCTTCAACCCCCCTTTCTTCTTCATGTGGTATCACCCCTGAGAAATGATCAAGAACTCCTCCTGCTTCACTTTCGTCATCCTCCACAACTTCTTTCTGCACCCTTCCTTGCTCTTCTTCTTCTAGCACAAACTGGAGAGCAAGTCGCCATGTAATTTCTTCAATGAGATCATCTTGCATCTCCTCGCTCGGGCCCAGCATGTTAGAGCAGAAATAAGGAAATGTGTGATCTGCAACCAGTGGACTTTCCTGATCATGATTATCATGGGAGTTCTCTGTGATAACTTCTGTATGCTCCTCAACATCCCCGTAGCCTTTGTCATCCTCCACCTCTTCTAGCATGGTAGCAGAAAGGTGATCTTGAGCAAGATGTGAGCATACTTGCTCCACCCACTCTGTTTGCTTCGCTGAGCGCTGAACAGTCTCCTCCATATCATGGAGAAATGAGGGATCGGAAGCGGCAAGGGCTTTGATTTGAAGATCCATCTTGGAGCATGATCTCTCAGTGTCTCGAGCAAACAGCTCTACAAGAAGCCTTAATTGTTTGTTTGGATCTTCCAGTGAAGTGTAGCATGGCTCTGCAGAGTGGCCCGTGAAGGCCGCCATGGGTAACTCCAGCTCCGATGGCCCTTCTGGTTGTGGGAGAAAGTCTTCTTGGTAATGAGGTTGTTCTTGATATGCCCAGGGGTCTGGTTGTTCTCCGTATAAAGGGGGTTGGTACTGGAACCCGAATCCATAGTCTTCTCCTCCTTGATTGCTGTAGGGAGTCTCGGGGTAATACCACCCGGATGGCGGTGGATACCCCCACTGGTTGGAGAAGCCATGAGGATCCATGATTCAGATCTGCACCAACAAAAACAAAAACACCCAAGTGAAAAGCAAGGGTGGAAAAGAAAAGAAAAACGCTGAAGTAACAAACTTCTGCCTTTCCTAATACTCTAGAAATTCCCCGGCAACGGCGCCAAAAACTTGATGGCCTAAAACACAACACCAATCTGCGACCAAGTGTAATCGCAGACCGGGAATGCAGTAAAGTGACAAGTAATAAATATCGAATCCACGGGTCTCTAGAGTTACTATTACTCAGCTTCAGTTCATTATCTAGCAAACTAGATTAAGGATTGATTATCTAAACTACTCTACTAACTAAACTAAGTAAAACTACTAATTACAGTTTGGGAACTCACTTAGGTATGATTCCCCCTAGCTCCTCAATTAGGTCCAAGTTGTAATTCCTTTTGGTTGTTTTACTGTTGATTAAACTGCGGAAGATCCGACAGTAGCTTGGAATCTCTTAAGCTGACCAAGCCCTCTCAGTCTAACTCCCCGACAGACGACTAGTCTTCACCGGGATAGAAAGCTGAAGCAGTAAGGAAAGGAAATCCACTACTGGAATTGGATTCCAGTACAAAGCAGTAAACTGGCTAACTCTCGTATAGCCAATCTCCTACTACCGAATGATGAGACTCTAGCAACCTAATCAGATTCTATCTTTCTCAGATTGCAGCAGGAATCAGGAAAAGTTGATCAGACTTCAATTGACTCAATAAACATGCATCATTCGATTAAAATCAAACAATATAGAATCCAAAACTTCATACAAGAAAGATCCTAACTCATGGAACTAGGGTTCCTCAAAACCTAAGTGAAGGGAATTTACTCCATAGAGAAGAGAGAGACTGCAGAAATCTGATCTAGATCTTCAATCTCCATCTCCAAGCTTGATTACCGAGCTCCAATGGCGAAGAAATCCTCCAAAATATCTCCAAGAATGTTCCCAAGTCGCTCTCTCTCTCTAGGGTTCGTCCCTTGGGTGTTTGGGAACCAAAAACCCAGCTCTCCCCTCCTTTTGGCTGAAAATCGAGTTTTAAACAGAAATTCTCGATCACGCGGCCGATTTCCACATGGCCACATGGCCAGTTCACACGGCCGTGTGGGTCTTGCCCGTGTGGCTTGCTCAGCCTCTGTTTAATGCTTCGTTTCTCCCTCGTCCGGACTCCGAATCAGTCGCCGTTTGATCCCAGACGCTTGTAGTCTCTTTCTCTATCTTTTAATGACAAAATTCCATGATTATTTGTCCATAATATAAGGTAGAAGTCCATTATTCCTCAGGTCATGCTCGTGTTTCTTCTCCCGAATTGCCGAATGATCTCCGATTGACTTCAAACTTGCGCCTATGCTTCAATTTACATGCTAGGACCTGAAATGTGATAAAGGAACACAAACTAGCATAAAATAGGCCAAAGAAGCGATAATGCAAACTTAAACGATCAAGAAACAAAGGGGAAAACATGTGCAAATATTGAGTCATCACATACTTTCTTTGTGTCTACACCATATTGAGTCATCCTTGTGTTTAGAAGCTCCATTCATACCATTTGAGCTTAAACGAGGTTCCACATTAGTAATTTGTGTATGGTTTTTCTAAGAAGTGAAGTGAGTGTGGAGGTAGTTTTTCAAAGTGAGCATTGTTCCTTAAGTTAAAAAATGTGGCATGTCTATAGCTCTCTATAGCCCCCAAAGAAAAGAGAAAAAAAAAGCAAAAAGAGAAAAAAGGAGAGATCAATAAGAGTGCAAAGAATAAAAGAGAGTGGCCACCAAAAATATAATAAATGTTGAACATGCTCTTAGAAGTGTTTCTTGGCCTACAAGCAATAGAAACACATACGTGTTGTTCACCTCTACACTCTTGTGCTTAAAATTGAATAGCAAATATAGCAAGAAAGCTAGTGTGACATGGTTTGGTGATTGGTTGTGGTTTGGAAAGAAGGGAACTGTGGTTTTTGGCCGATGCTAGTGGTCGTTGATTGTAGGAAAGGTTCTTAGTCAAAACCATAGAATCTTTTGTTGGTTTTAGGTTGAAGATGTGGAACCTCATGTTGTGTTTGCCACCACCTAAATAGCCTTTTCCCCTATGTCCTAGACCCTCGTCAGTCATTTGAACTCGTGTCTAAGACCTCCGCACAAGCTAGCAACGACACCCATCTTGTAAACTCTAACATTTAGAGGTTACCGTCATGGTGAAGGGACGTTAGGATTGAGCGTGAATATGCACATCTTTTGCATCAAATGGTCGTGAACCCACTAGTCGAGAGTGAGTGATTCATTCATCATGTTTTGTTCATTTCTTATACCCCGGTGAGGACCTAGGTTGCTCGATTGTTCGTTCATATGATGTGATTTTCATGCTTGAGTAACTGTGATTGGTGAGTCGTCGAAGCAAGTTTTGTGTTGGTTGATAAATAATGTGAGAAATCTTCTTTTGCACAATCTTAATACAGTTGAATGTCGTTTGTGGTGGTTGCCAAGATTAATTTGTTTTTGTCCATAGATCAGTGTCAAATAACCATTGTGATTCATTCGTTTTCTGCCCTATGACATGCCTCAATTTTTTTTTTTTGAAAAAGAGAAGTTGCAAGCTTACCTTGTTTTATACTTGGTTTGCTTGAGGACAAGCAAACTTTCAAGTGTAGAGGAGTGATTCGAGTCCAATTGTACACATTTTACCCCTCATTTCTTGATAGTTTGGCTTTTCGTTTCATCTTCCGTTGACATGTTTCATGCTAGGCTGTGCTTGTTTTGATACATTTCAGGTCCTAGCACGTGTGGAAGGGTTGAGGACGAGTTTCGGGACGATTGGAGGTCAAAAAGAGCAAAAACCAAAGAAAAGTCCAAAGACCGTGACAATTGCCCCATGATCGTAAAGTGCAGGCGTCCAGGAATCATCCACAGTTCACGGTCAGAGCTACGAGTTCACGGTCACCAGGAGCGTGAACTGGATCCACAAACCGTGAACCGCGAAGCGTCCAGAGGGGTTTCTGAGGTTACTGACGCCAAGGCGGTTCACGGTCGCTAAGACCGTGAACTTCGACCGTGAACCGGAACCATGGACCATGAACCCTTGAAGTGAAGCGGCGCATTTTGATTCAAGCATTGCAGTTCACTGACGCATTCTGATGTTCACGACCGTGAACTGGGCTCGATCTGATTATAATTGAAGATCTTAAAGGTGGAAGAAAAGGAGCTTTGAGGAGTGTTTTAGTTTTCAGAATAAAGGAGATTTCTAGTGAGAGATAAGGGTTTCCCCTTCCCATTATAGAGAGAGAAAGTGACACTGAAAGGAGGAAGAAGGAGATTGGACTAAATTCAAGCTAGGGTATTGAAGATTTCTTCGAAGGAGATTCAAGCAACAAGGGAGGAAGATTTCCACCTCTCCATGGTTCTTTCTCTCCTTTTTGTTGTTTTCCTTGGCCTAGCTATGTATTAGCCTACCTATTCACTTGGGTGTTGTAAACCCTAGCTACAATTATGTGAATGCTTGTATGAATTGAATGTTCTGTGTGTGTGGTTGTGCTTTAATGTGAAAGTGGAGGTATTATTCATTAATGATTGTGTTGTGTGAAAGCCTATTAATCTAATTGTCATTCTAACCTAGCTTAGAAAGGAGACATGTTTAGGTTAAGAGGCTCCATTGGAGATGGGCGTTCTTGAGTATTTCATGTCTCCTAGGCTAGTTTAGAAAGGAAACCTCCTTCATCCAAAGAGGCTCAATTTGAGTTGGGTTTCCTTGGCATTAATGGGTCCTAAGCTAGTTTAGAGAGAACCCTCCTTAACCTAAGAGGCTCTGTTAGGGACGGTAGAGATGGGTTTCCTTGGGCATTTCATGCCTCCTATTCTAGGTTGGTTAACGGGCAAACCTCCTATTTTGTATTAGCACTTAGGGTTTGGTTGTGGGTGTCCGTCCGAACTCCATTTTGAGGGTGAAGTCTAACCATTCCTTAGTTGATAGGTTTAGAGGGTCACATTAGTGGCTTGAATCGTATCCCATTCCTTAACCTAGAGGCTAAGAGTGTAGTTTTGGCTGCTTGTTAGACTTCCTTGCGGTTTATGACCCCCTAACCACACACGGTCGTTCGATTCTTCAAGTCATAATTGTTAGTTAGAGGGAAGCAACACCAGAGTGAGGTCCTCTCATATAGAATTCCCCTCGATTTACTTTACTTGCTTGTTTACATTTGTAGTTCTCATAGTTTTAAACCCAAAATTGTTATGCTAGATAACAACTTAAGCGATTGAAGTAGGGGTACATGGACCCTCTCTGGTTTGACAATTAAATACTTTCCCTATACTGCACCCGGCTAGAGTTATAAAACTTGGGCTCTAGTCAAGATTAGTTCGCGGTGTAGTTTCGTGCGAGTCTGTTTCAATTCTTAGTTACAGTAATTCTGTGTTTATTTAAGTTTATATTCCTGGATACTGCTGGAATGTTATAAATCTTTTATTTTTTTAGTTCATTATTTAGTTCATTTAATGTGTTTACTTGATCTGGATGAGTGAATGGTATTAGTTGTTCTCGCGTAATCCATAACTCGCAGGTTCATCGATGCCCGCATGGGATTGGGCTTGTTGCGAATTCTCTGCCCATGATGATTTGGTTATTTTTTGCTCAAGGACCTCAAAATCCTCTGACATCATCAAACATCCCCATTAGTTTATCTCGAGCCACTCTGACTTTCCTTCTCTAGTTCCCAATTGTGGTTTGAGCGGCGATGGTCGCTTTTGATGAAGTGGTTTGCAAATTTTTGTTGTTCTTGATTCTAGGATCATAGAGTAGGGATTAGAAGTGTGGTATTAATTGCAATTCCACTCTTGCAAGATAGCGTCGCTTCCTTACCGCTTCATTTCTTATTCGTTTAGCTTAGTATTTCACCCTTCCTTGACATATTTCACGCTAGGTTGTGCTTATTTTGATACATTTCAGGTCCTAGCACGTGTGGAAGGGTCGAGCTTGAATTTTGGGATAATCATAGCAGTGAAGTGAAGGCGTCCAGGAAACAGCCGCAGTTCACGTTCGGACAAGGCAGTTCACGGTCTCCTGAGAACGTGAACTTAGACCACAAACCGTGAACATCGAGGCGTCCAACAAGTTTCCAGAAGTTACTGACACCGCCAAGTCAGTTCACGCTCTCTAAGACCGTGAACTGGGGCCATTGATCATGAACCCCATAAGTGAAGCGGTGCATTTTGGACGACACTAAGTTAACGGATGCGTTTATGTGTTCACGGCCGTGAACTAGCCAACGCGTCCGTGAACTGGTCACTTTCGGACTAATATGAAGACAACAGCGGAGATAGGAAGGTGGGCTCCATTTAGGTTTTTATTTTCAGAATTAAGAGGATTCTAGTGAGAGGTTAGGGTTTCCTCTAGAGTGAGAAAGTGCAAATCAAAGGAGGAAGAAGGAGCTTTAGGCTTGTTCCTAGCTAAAGGATTGAAGATTTCTTCATCTCAAGGGTGTCTCAAGCAACAATGAGGAAAGATTGACATCACTTCATGGTTCTTTCTTCTCTTTTTGTTGTTTTCTCTTGCTTAGCTATGGAATAGCCTACCTATTCACTTGGGTGTTGTAAACCCTAGCTACAATTATGTGAATTCTTATGTGAGTTGAATGATTGTTTATGGGTGTTGTTTAATTCAATGATTGAGGTATTATTCATGTTGATTGTGCATGCTTGTGCTTAGCAACCTAAGGATTGTGCATGATTGTGCTTAGCATCCTAGGTTTGTGCATGTTGGTGCTTAGCAATCTAATTAGCCACTTTAACCAAGATTAGAGAGGAAAATACCCCTTTCAAGAGAGACTCAATCGAGTTGGTTTTCCTTTAGATTTTTAAGTCACCTAGCTAGGTTAATTTAGGGTAAACCTCAATGTTGAATTAAGAAAATTGGTTAAGCGTGATTAAGCCATCCAACCCTTGAGTTTAGTGAGGGAGTAAGTCAACCACCGATTGCCTAAACCGAGAGGGCCGAGTGACACGGCCTATAATGTATACATCGGTTTAGCAGTCGAGAGTGTGGTCTACGACCATATTTGCATCCCTCCCCGGTTCGCGGTTACCTTGCCCATAACAATCGTTTCAATTCACATACCATGGTAGTTAGGGGGAAGCAACACCCGAGTGAGGTCCTCTCATATAGAATTTCCCTCAATTTACTTTACTTGCTTGTTAACATTTGTAGTTCTCATAGTTTTAAACCCAAAAAACCGTTTTGCTAGATAACAACTTAAGTGATTGAAGTAGGGGTACATGGACCGGCCCGGGTTGACAATTTAAATACTTTCCCTATACTCACCCGACTAGAGTTTAAAAACTTGGGCTCTAGTCGGGATTAATTTGTGGTGTAGTTTCGTGCGAGTCAATTACGTAAGTGAATTCGCATTTTGGTTCAATTTAATTTTAGACAGGTTAAAATCCAACAATGTCAAATACTCGCTTAGAGCTTTCCCCTTAGGTGGATTCGTGAGGTTCCCTGGTAACAATCTCCACAGCAACATGCTAGCGAACGATGAGAATTTTGCCAAGAAACGATCGATTCTAGACCTGGTTAGTAGTTTGAGCTGGTAGTGGGTAAGATCATTTTTGCCTTTGAGATTAGATTGGTTGAAGCTTGTTTCAGTTGGTTTGCATGTTCAAGAGGCATTTCATGGTGTCTTTGTCCCTGATGTTCGACCCTTTTCTACTTCTTGTCGAGATGGGTTTCCCTCTGGTTATGTTTTCCTCTCTATCAATGGTAGTGAGATGCCTAAATACGGGTTTAATTTGGCCTGGGAGGTAGTGGAAATCGTTAAGATGAGTCTGAAAAGAAAGGTGGTACTTAAAGTGAGGAGAGCGAAGCAAGATTTCATAATTAAGGTTGCCCCAGCCCCCAGCCGAGAGCTTTGATTTAATAGGATTTAAGCTGCTGCAGAGTTTCAGAATCGACGAGGTTTTAGCTAGGGATACAACGAAGGAATTTAAACTTGTTGGAATGGAATTTGTGGGCTTTACTTGGAATGTTTTGGATTGCTTCTAGTTCATTGGCAAGACCAGCTTCTAAGTGACCTAGGTCTAATATTGGAGGTAGCAAGTATTCTTGGGTGCATGAGGATGTTTTCTTCTAGTAGCTATCAAGCAACACATGTGCTTCAGGTAAATATACTATTTTCTTATTTCTTTTGTGGAACAGAGAACACAAGCCTCTTGCTTGCAGTCATGTCTATTCAACTGTACATTATTCTTTACTATGTCACTATTAGTCTATTCTCACTCATCCATTTTGTTTCCGTGATGGTTACTGTACTTCCGATAACAGCACTTCCGATAACCCTCGTCGCACCCTAATGTAATTATTTTATTTTTTACTAGTTTGGTGCTCGACCTGTTGGTCGGAATGTTATTTGAACACAACATATTTACAATATGTATTCTAGTTATTTCACATTATTTGAAATGCTTATTTTAGCATGACATTAATGTGATTTTGAATTTTTTATTTATTTTTTAAATCACAATAATCTTACATCAATCACCGAACATTATATTCTTAATTATTGTAACACTCATGAATAATTATTTGTGGCTAACTAAGTGTAGAAGTGTGACATGTGTATCAGGGTCGCAAGTGATCACAATATATTCCGCTTGATGACAATGTTGTTCTTACAAGGAAAGCAGAGGAAAAGTGTTTGTGACTAACTAAGTGTAAGACTGAGACACGTGTATCAAGGTCGCGAGTGATCGTGAACAATATATTCCGCTTGATGACAATGTTGGTCTTACAAGGAAAGCAGAGGGAAAGTTTAAAGAGAGAAAGTCCAAGAGCTAGTGAGAATGACCAAAAATCCGACTCTCACCTACTAGAGTAAATGCTCTATTTATAGCCTCCTCACTCGCTCCAACCATCACTCTAGAAAATGGCCAAGTGTAACCACTTCCTAAAGCGTAGTATAGTGAGTTTGAGTTTTAATGTCAACCCGGGTCC